AAGTCGATTCGTGTGACAGTGATGTGGTTTCAAAATTATCCGGATTTGTTTGGACGGGACCTCAGATTCATCTTTCGCGCCAAAGAAGCCTCCGCCTATCAGAGCAGAATAGGATTTTCAGTAATCAGATTGCCAGAGTGTCAAGCGAATGGTAGACTTTTTGAAACACAGCAAAGGTCTAGCTGCGATGATAGACGCTCTGTGGTTGATCTTTTTTTCTTTAACTTTACGACCATTATAAAACGCCTCACCAATTTGCCTTATTTATTTACAGGTTCGGTATCTGAAGATTATAGAAAAGAGCGGTTACCAAGCACTTCCGTGGGTTCGTTACATCACACAGAATGGAGGTACGTAAGAGAGAACTTTGGATTACGAGTACGAGTACGAGATTTAACTTAAAGTTTTTGCCCGTGTTCTCAAAAAATAGACGCCCCGGAAAGCTTCATTTTACTTTTTTTCACCAAAAAAGTTAGAACGGTTGTTTATACTGAAGGAGGCTCTCTCCCGAGAGCAAAATGATAAAACTTCTTAAATTTGATAACCACTACGACATTCTCGCTAAAAGTCGTTGTAGAGTGGCGACGGCTACCACGTTTTCCCGCCAAAATGACCCTAGCTCTCGGGCGTGCACTATTCAGTATTGAGAAAATCTCGTACTCGTAATCGTCCTCGTCCTCGGGTCTAAAGCTCTTTATTAAAAGAAAGAGACAACTTTCTCCCTTTTGTTTACTGTCTGTTAGCAATCTCAGGTTTGGTTTTCAAGGTGGACGTTTGGTTTTTTGGAAAGGATGTTTTGATTTGCCAGAGACCGATAAGTCTATGCTAAAACACAACTAAAAAATAACTTGTTTGGGTGAACAGGCTGGTTAAATAAAAGATTTTGGAATGACTTTGAAATGATTTGTGTGTGTTTGTGTGTGTGGGTTTGTAATCAGCTACAGTCTTTTTTCTCTATCACTGCGTGAAAACGGACGCAACAACTCCCAACATTGTTGGCCCAACAATGTTGGGAGTTGTTCCGTCCGTTTGTACGTAGCTTAACGTTTGACCGGTTTCAAACTTAACGCAACAACACGCAACAAAATGCACCAGGCTGTGCAAACGGACGTAACATGTAACATCCACCAATGTTGGGTGTTGTTGGCCAACAATTAAGACGGACACCTTTGGACACGGCTTTAAGTGTCCGTCTTAAAGAGATGTCCGTCTTGTACATAGTCAAATAAAGGGAATAAAGAAAGACAGGGACCATTTCTAGGTGTCCGTTTTACAGAGATGTCCGTCAAGGGAGAGTCGACTGTACAATGTTTTTTTTGTAGCATTTTCGTGAAAACTTTAGATGAAACGACTAATATTCAGTTTCACACTTTGGTCTTCAATTTATTGCCGAAATTGTATTTGAGACCTATCAAGATTTATTGGTGTATATGTGTTGTGGTTCATAGTTATTCCTGGACCTTCATATTTTTAAATTTATATTTGGAGGTGTGACCATGTATGGTAACGGGTTGAATCCTTAACCGAAGGATAAAAATTAAAGCAGTGGCGATGACCACTAAAATTCGGCGTTATTTTTACAGAGGCGTTACTTTTTACAAGTCGTGTAAAATTTCATCATAAACAAAGTAAACAACTAACGACTTGTAATTTCTTTTTTTTTGACAGATTACCAGCTGAGAACTACATGAGAGCAAGTGCGACGTCTTTAACTAAGAAATTCACCCTTTTTCTTTATCCTGTAAACAAACGTCTATGAGTCTGACAAACGGTGTCTCTTGTTTCGCGACAAAATTGTGGTTAACGGTAATTTGTTAACATGACTACCTTTTAATGCTAACTTCATGAAGAGGAAAGTAGGAATGGGTGCCAGAGAACTTTTCATGCGCGGTTTTCGTTGGCGCTCTGTGTCGACCTGTGGCCGATACCGAAGCATCCAGCCGCACGCGAGAAAAAGACCTCTAGTACCCAGGGTAAGTCGAGATAGCAAAGGTCCACGAATTAAAACAATAGCTAGACTTGTTAGTGAGAAAATGAGTAGAAAACTTGTAAAATTGGAACGAATTAATGCAGCGTCAGAATTAAACAAGGTTATTTTATACACAAGTGTGAAGGATTTGTGTTGTCTTTGTTGGACGTCAGCGGGAATCGAGCACTATATAGGATGTAGCCCGCAAAATCATCCTTGTTCGAGCACCTGTTATTTCAGTTGCAGAGGGAGCGAGTCGCTCATTAACTAAAGCAAGGACTCTAATCTCAGACATTCTCAACTTCACACAATTTAGGGACGTTAAGATCCAACGACGCGATGGCAACGAGAACGTTGCTTAAAAAGTTAATTTTGCGTTCTTTCAGTATTTGTAACAATTATTCCTACCCACTTTCTTTGTCAAATGTAGGCGAACCCTCAACCATATCCAAGGTCAGAAAGAGAGAGAAAAGTTCGTCGTTGCTTGTTTACGTTCTCCATAAAACGTGAAATTAGGCATTTTCAGGTCATACTTGTGCATAAACGGCAAAGAAATGTAGAAAAAGGTGTGATGAACGTGCAAAGTTGTTGTTTTGCTTCTTAAACCTATTTATTTTTGGACGTTCTTGTTGCCGTCGCGTCGTTGGATCTTCAAGTCCCCATTTTCTTCTTCCAGCGGTATCATAACGCATAAAGTGTTCTCGATTTTTTGTTTAACGCATCTCTCTCCAACCTAAAAACATTTACAAACAGAACTTACAAATATCCATCTTTTATTACTTTCATATTCATTACGGTTTACTCTGTTAAACCACAAAGCTGGCCGTCCGCCCCACAAATACTAAAGAATTACAAATGTATGAGCATATCTTCCTTTTGAAATTATTTTAACACTTTTATTTTGTACCAAGGATGCGTTTGACTGAACAGATACACATACAACAACAACGATGATAACACAAGGCAGAGAGCGTCAAAATTTCTTCCAATTAAATTTTAAGCCATTTAAATATTCACGTCTGCATGTTCGTCTTTCCTTGTGCTGGAAGAGATCATTCAAACGCATCCGCTTATAAGTTATTCCCTACTTTTCGATTCTTCCTACAACATATCACACGGCACATAAAATTCAAAACTGAACTAAACTTTTTTCACTGGAGAATTCTATCTTTTGCGAAAAGCCGGGTTAAAGAGACTGATGAAAAAATGAAATGTCGTGAATGTCGCCCCTAGTAGAGTAATCCGCATTCTGGGAAATTTTTTTCTTGTGGAATCTGCAATTCTGGGCTTTGGAATCCGGGTTTCAGCTCTGGGAATCCGGAATGCCACCAACGATTGAAATCCAGAAATCCACTACGTAAAATCAGAAATCCAAGGCGTGGAATCCGGAATCCGAGACTGTCTTGGATTACCTTACAAGGGAGCGTGAATGAGACAATATGAGTCCTTTACAATAAATATATTAGCGTGGTCTTCTGGCATAGAAGGCACCACCAGCGGCTGCTATCAGTCTATTTAACCTACCCGGCCCATGAGACGAAAGAAGACACCTTCCCCCGTCTTTTTCACTCTCATTCTATTTTTTGTCTCCACAAGAAATGGTCAAAGCACTCATAAACGTAAGCTTACTTTGTGCGTTATATTCTTGAAAACTTATAATTACATGACAAGTTTCGTCTACACACAAAAAAATTCACACAAAGTGTTGAGGAGTGAGGCGCACTACTGACAGCTTCACAGTGTTCATTTAAATGCTAGAATCACAGCGACTAAGGGTGCATTCGATTGATAGTCACTTCTGCAATAAGAAAAAGCAGCAATTTGTGCAAATTCTCTTTGACTGCATATTTTTTTACCACTACAATGCCACATCCATCTTATAACTCTGGCTTTTAGAGGGCAATGACAGCCAAAACAAGTTACATTTAGAGTTTATTTTATGTACTTTAAATCCTACATATGGTCTATCAAACGCACCCTTAACAAGCCTTTATGTATAATTAAACAGCTCAATTTGCGAAATATTGCTATCTAAGTTTTAGTGTAAAAAATTACTGTTGTTATTCGGTCTTTCCTTCAATATGAAGGAAATGCTGTATGAAAAAAGTATTACTATCTACTGTTTATAGCAAAAATTAACTATTTTAAATTAGCTAATAATTAATTATTGAAATTATCTTAATATCTGAATTTCCAGATCTCCACAATACAAACTGAGCTAAATTGATGCAATGGATCGATTAGTATTGTTATCACTAGCAAACATGAGAATCTGTCTGAAAAATTTACAAAAAAACAACAAATAAACAAAAAACGCTACCATAATGATATTATATCCTCTATGTAGCCCTGCATATCTCTTAGGGATACATGTATTTATTATTAATATTATTAGAAAAGGAGTGTCTCAAGAGGACATGATAATATGGCTTGTGAAATTATTGTGACACAACGAGATGTAATATTACTGAATTCACAACACTCCTATTTGTTGATTCTCGTTTGCTAAGCAGGCTTTTCATTTTTAGAGATCCAATGAGTGAGGTGAAAGATAGTGCCTGATTAATATGTCAGACTTCTCTACATCTGCACTTGCTTCACACAACTGAAATCCCATTATGGCCCTTTGAACTTCTGCATACCCCTGTCTAATAAACCCAACTAAATTGAGAAGCATGCACTAAAAGAGAATACATGCTTACCTTCAAGGGGTTGGATATATAGAAGAATGAAACAGTACTTTTCATGACATAAATCGCCAGCACATACATCTTAATCTCTTAAATAATAAGGCAGGAAGTTAATCTCATTAGAGTCTATTACTCTTAATGAATACTTGGAAAATATTTCCCAAAGGCGATCTCTTCTCTCCAGAAAAGACTGCGGGAATTAGCATCTACAAAAAGGGCTGAGTTAATGTCTCACATAGCCAGGGCATGTCTCAGATGTCATTAAAAAACGGCCACAAGAGAAAAATACTAATTCCTAATAATTATGTATAAAAATTGTTACTGTACATTAATTTATTTCGTTATGAAGGTATGGTGCCATTTTGACTTTGAAGACGGGCTACGTGGACATAAATCTTTAGTGCAGGTCCTAGTTTGATTGACATGCCAGTCAGTACGTCATTTCTGGACATCAATAGCAAGGCCTCCCCATCAATTTCCTGAAGTGGAAAGATAAAATTGATTTTTTAAATCAAAGAGAATAATTAATAAAAGTGTGCTTATATATGTGACATCAAGTTACCATGGTATCAAAATTTCTGGATCTCAACATTCTTTCTTGACAGAGATGGCCATTGCATTGTCAGACGATCAAAGAAAGGTACAGGCTACCGTTTTGTTTCTGAGTGCTGAATGCAGAGGAACGTCATACATGTCAATTTTTTCCTTTTTTTTCCTGCCATATTTACAGGACCACAGTTTGTTGAGATCCAGAAATTTAGCGACCATCAGATGGTGATGTGACATAACGACTTCCCTCACTATATAAGCCTGCAAAAACTATAAACCTGAGACGTCCAAGTTCTTAGTGTGTGACAGAAGGAAAAGATAATATTCTTTAGTAGAGTGGGTTTAGTTAGAATGATCCACAAAATTTTGTTAAGAAGGTCATGCTGCTTTACCTGGTTTTGAAAGGATTTGGCTTCCTCTGGAAATCCCAGAGAACTGAAGAAAGACACTACTTCAGTGACAGTCCACAGTGCTGTCTCGGGGGGAAGATTACTTTTGCCTTTCTCTGTGTCACTAGCTGTATTACCAGACACAGGCGGTGAATCTTTGTTTGTTGAACCTGTGACACAAAAGATGTTGCAAGGTCATCAACAAATAATGTCAGACGTCTGTTTCTTGTCTTATAACTGCCCTGCAAGCAGATAGGTTTCTTTCTGGCATGACTTTTAACATTTACCAAGTTGTTCTAAGGCTTGTAGGCCAGGCAGTTGGATTGTTTATTTTTTTAGTATGCCCCCAAGAGACACCTATGAAGCGAACCATCTGTGGTTTCTGTTCAATGCGACTGACAGGCCATGCAAACGACCTCATAAATGCTAAAAACCATGCCAGCTCTAGCGGTACCATATAACCTACAATCTTGCTCTATCAATAGTCAATTTTATTTTTTTGTTTCTGTCTTTGAATTTCTTAGTTTTCCTGTAGGAAAGGCAAAACAGGTTATACGACAGTAAAAGAACACCAATAAAATTCAGCCTGATGGTACATGTGGGTTAATAATGCATTGTCGTCAGGCACAAGGAATGAGAAAAAGAAAACGTGGGAACAAAACCTAACTTAATCCCTTATAACCCTATCAGTAAACCCATTAGTAACCTATTCTATCGATATCATCCTGACATTGATGTCTTCAGAAACAAAGACAAATACCTTGAAAGCCATTAACAACACTTTTTTCTCCATTTGTCATTGCATCATGACCATTGGATTCACCATGATCCACGATCATAGGACCACTATTTGTTGATTCTCTTGGCATGCTCGGTTTGCAGTCATTCATTGTTGAGTGATTTAACATCTCCAACTCCCGCTGAACATTTTCAGCATCAACTGCATGAATAAATGTACAGATAGAGGACTTAGCCATTTTACTTAACCATAATTATTGGCTTTTCTGCTCTGCAGAACATTGTTGATTGGTTTACAATGGGCATATGTAAGTATAGTGGCCAAGGGATTATGATGGAATCCATTAGGAAATTGGGTAATTTTAATTTTCAGTGGACAAAAACCTTGTACCAGAATAATTCTAATCATATTGCATTCTTTTTTACCTTTTTCAAGGTCTATAAAATAATGTAATAAGTTATATGAAATATAACTGCAACGTCATTTCTTATGGGAGCCCGAGAAAACAAACTTCATGTAAAAGCTTTAAATTTCACAAAATGAGATGTTATGCAAGACAATTTTACCTGTGTTTTCTCAATTCCTGTGAAATTTGAAATTTATTTTCTCGGGCTCGGATGAGCATCTTATTGTTATCACACGAGACCCCGCCCATGGCCTCCATCCCCGGGTTTAACATGTGGTGCATTTACCTTTCACATGGGTGATTTAATTAATTAAATTTATATTCATTTGTCCTTTGGATTTTAAAAAGATAAACTCAAGTAAAGTTGTTCTTTTAATCCACTCTCACACAATAAATATTAATTAAAAGAAATAATTTATTTTCTCACACCTTGAATGTGAATATCTTTTACTTCAACGGTGCATTCGCCTGTGAGATCCTCATCGCAATGCAACTGCAGATCATCTCCTATTTGTATGTTACTTGCGCCTTCTGATTTCATTACTACATCTTGACTTACAAAACCACTGGAATCCACAAGACGCACTGGACTTATTGGATGATTTTGACAATTGTAACATATCCATTTTCCTATTTTAAGAAAAACAAATAATTGAAATTAACCAACTTTGCTGACAAAAAGAAGTAGATTCTCTGAATTTATATGCACCTGTCTTGTATCTGGTCAGTATAAACAACTGGTTCAGTGCAGTCAGTTACACTGAACTGGAGTTTTTTAGGTGCCTAAGTGCGATCACCCATGATTTTTAGGTACACTGCCAAAAACTCTAGTTGCATGTGCGACAATACAAACTGCTACCAAATTGAGTGAAACATAAAAATAATCACTCAAAACATTCAAAGGTTATTTATGACACAGCAAATACAAAAGTTAAGGCAGGGATGGACAAACCTGAAGAGGATTAAAATAGATTGAAATTGTATGTTTTTGAAAACTTGTTTGCCCAACAGTTTTTCAAAGTTCATTTTTGTTGTTTGTAATGTTTGATATAATGCATGGGAAGTAAATTTTGAGATTTTGACGTTTACAAGTAATTTCTTCTTTAAATTGAATAGTGCATAAGAAAGCATAATTGTATGGCTATATGCCATATACAGTGGAACCTAGATTTAACAAAGAGCCAAGGGACTGACAAAATTTATTCACCATAACGAGGTTTCGTTATATCGAGGTTCTTTTTCATACATTTTACTATAATTACTGGGGTAAGGGAAATTGTTCATTATATTGAGGACTTTGTTATATAGAGGTTCCTTATATTAAGGTTCCAATGTATTGACAAAATGAACTAGACTGCTGTAACTCAGCCCCTTTAACTTTGAGCCTTGTAAAAGTGATCAAAAGTGAGATTCTCACCAATTGGAGTTGTAGACATTGGAGGTACATGACACTGCATATGGTAGCCTTTGTCACAGGCATCGCAGAACAATAAACTACTCTGAAAAAGAAAATTACAAAGACAAGCACATTACAAAAACATATTTCACAACTGATTAAGCTGTCCATACTACTACACGAGAAATTAGAGCAGTGGTATTTCAGCTTAATTTGAAATACCTACATGTGAAAATTACAAACCTTTTGTGGGTAGTAGTATAAACAAATAATAGCATGATTTGTACATGATATTTGGCATAAATACCACTCGTGATATTTCAAAATTGTCTCAAATTTCACTTGTCTAACGGCTTGTGAAATTACGAATAACAATTATTTTGAAATATCCCTTGTGTTATTTATGCAAAATATCACTACAAATCATGCTATTACCTATACTAAGACAAATTTTCAAATTATTAACAGTTATTAGTAAATGAGGCTGAAAATGATATGAAGAATAATAAAATGCAGATCAAGGTGACGTTACAATGTAGGTCGTGGGTTCCACCTCTCTCCAAGCACCTTGGAGAGTTGTGAATGTTGGGTGGTTCCAGCTCACAGGGTTGCCATGGATACCTCCTTGCTATGCCTGAGGTGCTAAATGTCCAATCTTTAAGGCATCAGCTCCCAAGCTCATACACTGGTGATGAGTGGCTAAATCTAATTTAGGCAAAGTTAATTTCAAGCCGATGCGATCAGCGATCTAACCCTCAAGTGTAGATGATCTGTGGGGTGACTCAGTGCATGGGTCTTTTGCTTATCTTGTCACTTACGTTGCATTTCTTGCTGGCATTTAGAGCTGATCATTGCAGATCTAGTGTTGCTCGTGCATTAAAGCAATTCTTTGTGGATTCTGGCTCCCACCCCTTCCCCCCTGCATCGGTAAGTACCGGTATGGGGTCAGGTGAGTATTTCCACTGAAAGACAGGGGTGGTTCCCACTTGCACCTGCTTGCCATGGATACCTCCTTGCTATGCCTGAGGTGATCAGGCCCCTGTTCAACCTGGAACCAGTACCCAAGCTCATTTATTGGTGATAAGTTTAACAACCTCTGACGTCTGCACAGTTTTTCATATACATGTATCACACAAAAGCCAAACTTCATCAACCTCCTCCCTCCACAAAGATTTGATTAGAGAGTGGCCGAGGGACTTCAAGTCATGGAAAGGATTTTAAGTTTACAACTTACGGGATCTCCACTGTCATTGCATATAATACAGGCTTTACAGTCAATACACTGCCAGGCACTAGCATCTGAAGTGATCCTTAGCACAAGCTCTGGAGAGTAATTCATACAACTGGGGTGTGCTAAAATAGCAAAAATACAAAGCAAGCTCAAGTCTAAGGAAAAGTTTAAAAATACAGGATTCAGGAAAAAATAAGTTGAAATCCACTTGCACAATGGGCGAGTAAATTTCAGTGTTTGCTTGTTCCTATACTTAAATATTACTTGCCTGAAGGGGAACAGAATGCAAGTACCGTCTTTAGGTAGTTTTAAGATATTGTCTATAATAAATTATAGATTTATAACAAAGTGTATAAAATTACTAGTACTTAAATGCTGTGCCACGATACAGAGCAACTACTAGATTTGACCAATATGGTGATCAGAGGAGAAACACGAGCAAGCAAATGTGCAATTGGATTTTAAACTGATTCATGCATTTTGCTACTTATTGCAGTCTTTGAAACAGTTTTGCCTAGAAATTATCATTTACCAAGCTGACACTTTCAGACAGACTCACAGGACCACTGAGGCAACATGCATTCCACTTGCCCACTGGGTCACCAAACTTCTATTTTTACTTACCCAAGATCAAAATTAACTTGCCCCGGGCAATCGGACCTGGGTTTTTTCCTACCCTGAGAACTGCCATAACATTTTTAACTGCCAGAAATATTCAGCTAGTAGGCATAGAATTAAACAGTTATAATTTTCCTTTTTTTTCTTCCAAAAGTAACCGAGAATCAGGCTCGTAGTGGCAGGGAAAAATCTCGGGGCCAACTGCCCTTTGTGACAGCCCTGAATATACATGTATATGCACCAACTCAAAGATAATGAAGATGATGGCATCCCTTCTAACCTTTGTTGCCACAGTCTCTGCATACTAAGAGGTCTTCTGGCTCTCCACGTCTGTTTGCAGCCGCAGTTTGAAGACAGAAGTCACAAACTTGTTCACATTCTGGAATTTCTCTTTCCGGGCTCTATAATATACATTTTATAAGAAAGATAACATTTAGAGTTTTCCTTGTAAATCAGGTCTTTATTTATGTCACGCAAGCCTGAGAGTAAATGGAGGCATATTTACTTCTTACAAAGGGCTGCAATGATTCACTGATGTGTCACAAAACTGATTTATTTCTTCTCATGAACTGAATATCAATATTGAAACAATATATCATTATATTATGAAACAACAAAATATGCCACATCAGCAAATTTGTGAAACCACTGACTCATATTCATTACTCAAGCGCCGCTTTTTTTGCAACTCCCAGATGTTAGTCATGAAAAACTGCTCTACAACACCTATCACTACTATTCAGTTAAGGTAATTAATGTTACTTTACGCACAAACTTTGCCAGATACAAGGAAGACATCGCAACAGCTTGTAACATTATTTGGGCCCAAAACAGTCCCTTCCTTGAAACACCCATCAAAAGAAAGACCTCCCACCAGAACCCCAAGCGTTTAACGTCCTCTGCTCTTTTCAACAATATTATTATTTATTTACTAATGTTAGTAGTAAAATTTACAGTTCAAGAAACACACATGACTAAGTTGTTACATTATATGTTATCTAGTTATTGCTGGTTTTCAGTGTCATGCCATTAAAAAATATAGATCAAAATCAAAATCATTCAATAGATAAAGTCCAGAATCTGGGAAATGAAATGAGGTACATATACAAAGACCCTCGCCAAGATTCAGGTCAGAGGAATGATTTTGTGTACGAGATATCCGAAGAAATGTTTTACCCAAACTTATAGAGATTTGTATGGAGACGCCATGCTGGTGCTCACCTGGATGAGCTCCAACATGGCGGACGGAAACCAACAGAAACATCTGTTACTGAGGTTTGCTACAAAAGCGTGAATTTATTCTTCGAGAAACTCATAAACATTAAAGTAATACTTTTCTAATACATGAAATGTTTAGATAGCAAAATTTCCTGAAATAAGTCATTGTTTTAACCTACATGACAGCTCTCTTGGCCGTCATGTAAATGCTGCGTCATGCAGAAGCTTAGAAATTCAAGCGTACTCTATCACAAAACTAAGAACCCTTTTGAAGGGAAAATTTGTATGAAAATTAATTTTCAGCTGCTCTAATGCATCATGAAAGTAAGGGAAAGTTCATTTAATATGACAAGGGGGGGGATGAAGATATTGAGGGGGGGCTCCGAAAATTTTTAGACACCCGAAGGGGGGGCTCTGAAAAAATTGTTGCGCTAGGAGGGGGGGCTCCGAAAATTTGTATACTTCAAAACCAACACATGACATCATCATACAGATCGGATGGTTTTCAACTCAACAATTTAATGACCTGTGCAACTCAGCTATATCACGTGGTCTACAGATATAACAAATGTAGTCTCAGTAATTATTACACTCTTGTTCATCCCAAAAATGCTTTAGAAAATTGTATCACAACTGTATCTCAAGTTTGTCACAGTATAAACCATTGAAGACAATAACGGTAAATATATTTAATACAGTCTAGCGATCTTTTTTCAGGGGAGCAAAGGAATTGAAGGAGCGGGGGGGGCGGGCTCTGAAATTTTTTCCACTACCAAGGAGGGGGCTCCTAAAAAATTGAACCACTAGCGAGGGGGGCTGCTAAAATTTCAAGCTTCGAGTTTCAATATCTTCATCCCCCCCCCCTTGTCATATTAAATGAACTTTCCCTAAAATCTTGCTAGGATCGATAGTTTTTTAGTTTGAATTTTAGTGATGTCATGTAAAAACCAACAATTGAACATTAAAATTCCTCCAAGGAGTGGCCAAAGTCAAGATTTGACAAATAAAAAAAAGCACTTTATTTGAGTGTCAATGTATTTAGCACTAAGTACTAATTGGGGACACTATTTTTACGTCTCCTACTAGAGACGGGACCACCATTTTACGTGGTCATCTGAGTCATGCGAAGGTCTAGCCGCTTGCAGCGGAAAGGCAGTACCTTCATTTCTTAGTTATTTTAAGACTTGGAGTATTGGTCTGGCCCCGGGAATCAAACCCGCGACCTTCCCCTCTGCAGTCAAGCGCTCTATCGACTGAGCTAATCCTCCCACGGTAAAGTTCTAATTAAAAGTTTTTTTGTAATATGGTGGAACTCAATTAGTACCAAGTGAAATTACTGTTGAAGAGGATTGATTTGAATGGATCCACCATTGGATTTCCTGTTCAGACTAAAAAGTTACAACCAGCTTATAAAAGGACTCCTTCATTCACCTTGGAGGTGAAAGAGTAGAAAGTAAACTTAATTTATCATAATAGTATTTAAGCCAGGTGTTTATATCCATAAAGATACATTTGTAACGATTTTTACAATAACTGTAGCAATTTGGTTCAAACGTGTGCCATTGTGTCTGAAAATTTCATTTCAAGTTTCCTGTTCAATAATTTTATTTTTCTTTTAGAGTCTTTTTTTATTGAACCAGGAAATGGTTTCCAAAAGCCTCGAGCAAGGTTTACGAACTTCGGTTAACTAACCACTCCACAAGGAAATACACGTCAACATTTTGTATTCTATAGATTGGGGGATATGTGCACGCGTGGGGCTTGAAATGGCATACAAAAGTTGCTAATATCATTTACTGCAGCCAAAATACCAGGGTGACAAAAAAACTGCGAAAAGCTGCCATCAACATGATAAGGACCTTTTACTTAATGTGATTTTCGTGGTAAAAAGTTTTGCTGGAAGCTGCGTTTTCTGTCAGTCACATGTATGCGACCGGAGACTGTAAACTAAGGAGACTTTCCGCGAACAAAAGTTCCCGACTTTTATGTTTGGAAAGACTTCAGCTTACCTCCGCGGATTCGAGCAGCCTGTACATGCCGTCACTCACACTCCAGACGCGTCCATGATCTAAATCGTCTTTCAATGCGATCTTGATCCTGGCCTTCAAATTATGGTAATACGGGTGCCGAGCAGTTATGAATTTGTCGATTTCCACTGCGCTGACGCCGTAACCTCGATCAAGCGCTCGAATTGCTTCGCCTACCCATCGGGACGCTCGCGAAACTTTGCCGGAGCCAAGAACTCTGTGCCAACCGGACGCGTTGCGATAAGAAATAGCGCCTTTAAAAGACCTCTTTGTCACAATTCCGCTCGCGATAAGCACTGCTAAGTCTTCCTCTGTGTCTCGCTCATCGATTCCGTGACATTTATGCATCGTCCGGCAAATTCGTTCTAAGTCGGGCCGTGATTTCCGACTGCGGAGCAAGTTTATACACTCTAGAATCCAATTCATGTACTTCGGTCGTTTTTCGGCCATGCCAGGAACAGTGGGATAGGACGGATGAGATGGCAGATGAATTTTCTATGTTAAGGTGGGATATGGAAAGTTTCGTTCTGCAAGAGAAACGCTGATGTCCCCTCTCGTTTGCATACCGTGAGAGAAATGCTAATTTTTTCACGCAAAAACAAACGAACGCTGCCGCAAGTTATTATGCGCCCGCGATTCCCACCTATATCGGCTTCGCTATCTAATGCATGCGTTGACAGAATTTGCAAATGGCGGTTCGGGGATGTCTTGTCTGGCGATAAATTTGGCGATTTGAACCTCAAAATGATTGAATTCCAAGCCAATCTAAATCTTGCATAGCTGAATAATGGAAGCAAGGAGCATGAAGCACTAGCCGATGATAACTAGAGCTAGTAGAGCCGGGAAATTGCAAAGAAACCCCGATGTTTCGTCAGACGCCATGTTTAATCTCACCGAGCAATTTAATATGCATTCCTGTCAGTATTGGCCTCGAGACATCTGCCACGGGTTAAAGTCGCGATAAATATAGGACGGTAACAACTTTGTAGAATGGACAATTCGGAAATACCTCCGCCCTCTACAGGAATTTCGGAAGTTGCGCGTAAAGATGGAGATGATTTGGAAAACAGCCAGAAACCAATTAAGCCCGGAAGTAGTTCACGGTCCAGACGAAACCGCGGTAAGGCGGAAAACCACAAAGAAGGTAGAAAAGAGGTAGGATTTGAGAAGCCTTTCAGTTTCTTAAAAATATAGGTAAGGTAACTGAATTTACTGGACCGTGATCAGAGATTACGCGTATTAAAGGGAAAAAAAAGAAAGAACAGAATAAGCTTACACTTGCATTGCGACTACGAACTGGGGCACTTGGAAAAAGATTATCCAATCACAACATTTTTCAAAAAAAAAAAGATTCTCAGGGTTTTTTGCAAACAGATCCATACAAGTCATGAATTTTGAGGGCCATTTCCTGAGAGGTCAGGTAAGTTCAAACGCTTTTAAAGTTTCAACGGTTGTACCTTGAATTTTATTGGTCCATTTGCAAAAAAAAAGTTCAGAATCTTTTGTTTTTCAAAAAACGTTTTGATTAGATAATCGTATTCCAAGTGCCCTGGTTCAAGTAGTTGCACTGTAAATAGATGCAAGACTGTCAAAGTAGAATGCTGAACAAACATTTTTAATGAATGACAGATGTAATGTCACTTAACACTGACCTCTTGAGCAGTTCTAGACTTGTGCTGCATATGTTTGTGCCCTTTTTTGGCTCAAAGCATGACAATGAGCTGTTATTGCTTCGGCAGGGTCCCATAGAGTGACCAACATCAATTTTCTCCCTACAATTTCATTTTATTTTTTTCATTTTTTGAGCTATTTTGAAAAAATAGCTCATATGTCAGTGGTGTGAGCGTATGTATCTTTGTGGCTTTGTATCTTTGTGGCTTTGTATGTTGGGATGTTTGTTGCAAGAGCCAATAAGGTTGAAGGTACTATGAGTTGATGCTTAGGAACCAATGAGACCTTGGCATCTATTTAAACATGGCATTGGTAAAGGTCGAACAAGGGCACTTTGAGACCGCCATCTTGATCCTTCACAATTTTTTCGTCTCTTATCACGGGTACAGGTGTTTGGAAGCATTACATAAAATATCTTCATGATTCAAACGCTGTAAACAGTAATGCAGCTGTTTAGGGTTCATATTTTAGTATGGCTGGATGCTGCTTCAAGACATTTGTGACCGATTCGGCTATCGCGAACGGTACAACGTACGTAATTATGAGTTGTGTTTCACCCGCTTCAAGATCGTATATTTTCACAGCTCTTCCAGTGAAGCAATAATTTTTATTTAGATATGGACTTAAATTTGAAAGTATGCGGCCTATAAAATGTGGTTTTACAATTTGGAAAGGCAGCTTATTTTTCTTCAAGCTGTACCGAGTATTGTTAATTCTGTAAACAAGCTAAAAAAATATTATTCTCTCGTTTACAAAGTTCAACAGACCTTTTTTTTTTCGTTCCGGCAAAACAAAAAAATAATAATAAGTGAACAACATGATACATCCTTCCTGCATACTAAGCATTATAGTTATTGAAACGTATTTTATTTAGCAAATTTTGTGCATGAGTTATTTTTATAATTCTGTTTACCGTGTGATAAGTCGAATTCCCTCACGTACGAACAACCAAAGGGGGCAAAGTCCAACACTTTCACGTGCCAGTTGTGTGATTGTACATCTCATGCAGATTGGCCTTTCACAATAATAATAGTAACTTCAACGTATGAAGACCTGTTTCGTTTTGTAACCAATGCCTTAAAAAAGGCTCTTGTCTTTTAAGAAGCAATAGCTTTTAAAACATAAAGAAATAAGTTGTTGGAGTTAAGGACTGTTTCACTGAGTAGAATCGCACGTGAAAACCGCGTGAATTGTGATGATGCAACCATCTACCACAATTATAAGAATCCTGGTATTTCTTAACTACTCGAATTCGATGAGTCACATTTTGGCTTAAGAAACTCCGAGGAAACCTTAGAGTTTTCCTTCTAATCAGCGTTTCGGTTTGGTGAGTAGATATTTATTTTACTTTAATAATCTGTTTAACTCGCACCAAATGTAACAGGGAAAGGCAGGGGAAAGTGAATATATAGCATGAGGATCGACGCATCTGAGCGTTTCGCGTTTTCATTTATATACGGCAATACCCAATGTCGCACAAAAATCCACTCTACATTTAGGACGAAAAAGGTAGATTCATCACTCTTGGTAAGGTTACACTGAAGCATTTAAGTTACAATGAAGCATTCAAAATAGCTCATGCACGTTTAACGTGCCTATGTTTATAGTTACACGCAATCAAGAAAAATGTTATGAGAAAGAAAATGATCAGCAAAGGAGACGTGCTTTAATCTTTTGACAAATTCTTTAGAATGACCAAATCAATTTTCTTCTAGTGATATCAATACACAATCAAGAGTAAACGTTATGAGAACTATTAAAATGACCACAAAAGGGAAAATACTTTGATCTTTTACTAAATTCTCTCAACCAATTTTTCTAAGAATGTATGGAGATCAGTCTTGAGAGTTTGTATGTAAATATTGGGACTTCAAGGGTTAAATTATCCCTTTAGCTACTATCTCAACTGGGTTTTTGTTTCAAATGGTAAGAACCCCTCAGATGTATTAAAAGACTTGGATTCTAAAGAAACTTAGCCTCCCATGCAGGCAATTTTAGGGGAGCTCGTTTTTCATCCCTCCCCACAAACGCCCGCTCAACCAAAAACAAGATTCCTTTCCCATTGTTTGATTTGCGTGGTAAGTGACCAATCAACAGTTGTGCAATAAAGTGTTGACAGGCTAAACACAACTAAAACATGACCCGAGAGTTACCGTTTTCGTTATTTTCTTTCCTTTGCTAAGGTTATGCAGTGCATGGAGTATTCTAAAATTTGACTAAATCTTATTTTTGCGGCTCAGAATCTAACATTTATTAGAGGAAAGAAAGATTTCCCAGTGTTTCATGCAGATCGAGTAATTATCAGATTACCCTGCAGTCAAGGTCAACTTTCCAGAATTTGGAAAGTACAATGTGATTGGCTAAGCTTGGAAAAGGAATGTTGTACTCAGTTGAGCAGGCGTTTGTGGGGAGGGACGAAAGACGAGCTCCCCCAAAAACGCCTGTGTGGGAGGCTAAAAGAAACTGTGATGTCAGATAATACTGGGGGAGTGAAATACAAGCATTTAGTTTTATCAACTGATTTGATTTAGTAGATTGGCTACTGTAGGGGGGGGGGGGGGGGGGGACAAAAGGTGGTTTTTTTTTTGCTGCCCCTTCCTGGGGGCAGATACGTCCCCCACCCCCCCCCTGAGGAAAAATTTCTCTTATTAACCCGGTTTTAAAAAAAAAATTTTTAACAACCACCCCCCCCCGGTCCCCCGGGCGGTTTGACAAATTTTACACACTTTTTTTAGTTGGTTGTGGTGTAACGGGTAGACGTCATCGCTATTAGCGGAGGTGAGCCACCAGAGAAGAGGGGAGGGAAGAAAAAAAAATAACATGGATATAGAACTACGGGGAGGGGAAAAAAAATCTGATTTTGAATATACTTATTTTTTTTGGTTGGGGTGGGGGGGGGGGGGGGGGGGGGGGGGGGGGGTTCAATAAGGTGATGTTTTGATTGCTAGCCCTTCATCAGGGCAGATCAGCTTCCCAACTGCCCCATGATGACTAATCTACTTCATGAACTCAGTTTATGAAACGAAATGTTTGCAAGCATCCCTCATCCTGGTCTCCTGGACGATTGGCAAAGTTAATGCATCATGTTATTGGATGTAAATGGTGTCATATGCTTTTCATTAGTACAGGTTATTGCTGCTGGGAAGGAGTCTCAAAAAACACTTTTTTATGATAAATCAGTACGACGTAGAGTTCATACTTGTGTGAAATTTATCAGCGTGCAAAGAAATTAGTGTCCGATAGCCCGGGGCTAGTGGATTTTGCTATCGGGCTAGTGAATTCTGTAATTAACTTGCCCGACAGGCAAGTGAATTTTTTTTAGGAATTCAAATTACAGAAGAACTGTGAAATCAATCTACTCATCAAAACGTTTTTTGGGCTAGTTGAAATGATATTTGGACTAGTAAATGTGAGCTTCAGCTTGCCCGAATGACAAGCTGTAAAAATGACTTTCTTTGCACCCTGTTCATAAAGCTGTGTTATTACTCCTACCAGGGGAGCTTGAAACAATGTTGTATTTAATATATCTTTTTTCTATGGTTTAGACTACTGGAATATCAATAAATGAGGATCCAGCATGTAGAGACCTGTATCTACAGATACTAAAGGACTTGGAGTCTCAGCACTTTATTGTGCAAGCTGATATTAATGTTAAGGTGTGTAGTAGACAGCTCGTAGAACAATGCTTATGAAAAGAAAATAGGCTGCACTCCAGGTTGCAATCATTTTGGTTGCCATGTCCTCTGACGTGGTGACTTAAATTGTGTCGAGAGTTTGCAATTAATTAAGCCATATATGTCCTTCAGTCAGCGTGCAAAGAAAGTAGTGTCTGATAGCCCAGGGCTAGTCAATTTTGCTATCAGGCTAGTGAATTTTGCTCTTAACTTGCCCGATGGGCAAGTGAAGTTTTTTGTGGAATTCAAATTACAGAAGAACTGTGAAATCAATTCTGCTCATTAAAATGTTTTTTGGGCTAGTTGAAATGGCGTTTGGGCTAGTATATTCTAGGTTCAGCTTGCCCGAATGGCAAGCTCTAAAAATGACTTTCCTTGCATCCTGCTTCAGTATAAACTGTGTCAAACTATAGTGCTTTTGTTAGCTAAGTTTGCGTTCAAGGACTTTCTGATGTTACAATGATGTCTTGAAACATTTGCAAAAGATTTTATTCTGGTCTAGTTATGGTCCATTTTGTTTATGATAAATTTACTCGTTCACCCTGTGGCTCTCTGTGAAGAACTAAGGTTTGAATTATCATGTGTGCAGCCAATTTTGATATTAATAGTAACTGTTAGGCAGCCATTTTGATTACTGTGTTATATATCACACAGTGTGGCAGCAGGCTTAATCACCATAAGGCCATTTTGAAAAATGCTGAGCTTGTAGCAATCTGGAGTTGACAAAGGAGTGTGTTTATCAGCAAAGTTAACTTTCTATGAGAATCTGTTGATTGGGGAAGAAAGCATGACTGTTATTTCTGTTAACTGGTGTTGCTACTACAATAAGTTAGAGACAATATAAGCCTTAGGGCTTTTGATAAGAACAAAGAAACTGTCCATAATAACAAGATGTTCCTATGAAGTGAGTGTTTGTAATGCTGGGTTTGACTCTATTTAGGTGGAATCCATCAGGAAATTGTGTAATTAACCCTTTATGTCCCAATGGTGACCAACATCAATTTTCTCCTAACGATATCCATACGCTGTCAAGAGATACAGTTATGAGAATTGATGAAATGACCACCAAAGTGAAAATGCATTGCTTTAACGAAATGCATGGAGGTCAGTTTGGAGAATTTGTATGGATATATTGGAGCTTAAAGGGTTAAATTAATTTTCAGTGGACAAAAACCTTGTACTAGAATTTTGAAAACCATATCCCGTTCTTTTTTACATTTTTCAAGGAGCTATAAATGTAATAAGTTATGTGAAATAACTCCAAAGGAAAGGTTCTTATGGGAGCCCAAGGAAGTCACATTTCAAATTTCACAGGAATTGAGAAGACACAGGTAAAATCATCTTGCATAAGATTTCATTTTGTGAAATTTGAAGTTTGTTTTCTCTGGCTCCCATAAGAACTGTCTTTGGAAGGATTTCATATAACTTACTACATTTTATAGCCCTTGAAAAGAGTGAAAAAGAATGCAGTATGATTGAAATTATTCTGGTACAAGGTTTTTGTTCACTGGAAACAAAAATACTCAATTTCCTTATGGATTCCGTCTTCATCTCATATGTGGATAAAATATTGAATATTACGAAGCAAAGAGCAGTTCTTCAGTTTTATGGAAATATTGTTTCAGGGTTCACCGTTTTACTGTGAGCTTTGTGAAGTGAAACTTGGAAACATAGAAGAGTGTCAAAATCATGCTACGAGGAAGTCACACAAGAAGCTGAAAAAGGTACCGACTTGTTACGCTGCAGAAGAGGTTTCTTAATCAGAGACACAGGCAGCTCAAAAGAAAAATTCTGACTTAAATACTCGCAAACTTATGACCTTCTGGTTACTAGTCCAGGAATGCTTTACCACTGACCTAGTACACAAGAGACTTGTGGGAGCTTTGGTCACTAAAATAGGTTGATTTATAGTTCCATGTATGATTCATTTTAATCATTTAATTAGTAGTTAGAGAGACCTTGCACTGTAATAACCAATAAACCTTATAATTTTAAAGTGTTATTCATTGTTTAAGAGGAAAGGAAAATTCCAATATTATTCTTTTTTCACTAGTTGATAGTTTTCCTTACTGGTCAAACAAAGTGATAACCAAACCGTAACCATAACTAAGTGCCGTTCCTCAAATAAATACCCCTCTCTTCTTCTTAACCCTTTATGTCCCAATAGTGTCCAAAATCAATTTTGTCCTAACGATAACCATAGATTGTCAAGAGCAAAGTCTACAAGAATTGATGAAATGATCTTAAAGAGAAAAATCTTTGATCTTTTATCAAATTCTCTCAACTCATTCTTTAAGGAAATGTATGGAGATCAGTTTGGAGAATTTGTAAGTTGATATCGGGTCTTAAAGGGTTAAGGCCAAAATTGTATTTTTAAGCACGTTTTGGGGAAAAACTGTACTTCAGTCAGTAGATTTCTTAAAGGTGATTTAGTTCTCTTTTCTTTAGTCAAAAGGAGAACATTTGGCACTCTCGCGTGTTTCCCCGCCATCAGAACCTCAAATACTAGCTTTGAACAGACTTCTTGAATCAGTGGTTTTGGAGCGTGGGTTGTGTCCTGTGAGTGATTTACCAAGGCGGCAAGAAGTTGCAAAGGATGTCAGTAAAACTGTTTGCTCCACTCATCCAGGTAAGCCAAATTCCTCTCCGAGGCCATCTCAGGACAGGACTGTCATTAAGTTTTGAAGCAGCCATAGCAAATATAGATTCACCCATAACATCTCACAAAAATTTATCGTGCCACCTTTAGCTTTGCACTTTGATTACCTGTAACATCAAGTGATCTCAGCTGTAACAGGTGTTTTGGGTTACAGCCCTTAATGACAGCTCTGAATATGGGGGGAGGGGGTACATATGTCTCTCGTCTGAATTTCAAAAGCGGTCTTTCACATATTGAAGAGGAGGCCATGTCGCTCTCGGTATTTTACTATTGTATTTGTGATTCTCCTCATCACTGTCACAGTTTCGACCCAATTTCATGTCGTTTGTTGCCTTATTCATCTGTCTAGTTTTGTCACTGTTTCAAGGCCATGTCGCATTGTCGGAATTCAACCCTAATGGCCTCCTCCTTTTTCAAGTTGTATTTGTTTAACCTTAACTCCAAAACATTAAGACTTGGTGATCTAGTTTTCCTCTTATTGGACTTCAGATCTAGAGCCTCAGGTGTGAGTCTAAAACTGTGTCAGAAAATGAAAATATGAGGCAACTTTAAGGAAGAATCTTACTTGATTGAATTTTGTAGATACCCTTTCAAATTATCTTTCTTAGTCTCTAGCAGATTTCTTAGATAGCTAGTTGGGAGTGCACCATATGAAAAGTAATTTTTTGAATTTGCCTTCTTAGAATGCTCAGTTTCTGTTTATGGTTCATCACTCACTGGATTTGGTTTGAAAGAGAGTGACATCAACCTTGATCTTGTTATTCCAGATGAAGTGAGTACAACAATGTAGAAGCATTAATTTACTTCAATTATTTCTTTGACCCCTTAGAGTGCCATTACCCACACCAGCCTCTGGTATCAGAGGGAGACTAACAGAGAAATTCAATACTGTAGATAGTTTAATTTAAACTGCAAGGTATTTCTTATTTATCTTCAAACTTGTTGGGGTGGATGCATATGCACAGTTTACGGGAAGTGAGTGTTAATAACGACTTGGCCTTAATTTTCATTTGAAGGAAAACCATTTAATTTTGTACAGTGCAGTGCAAGCATAAATAGTTATCTTAACCCTTTAAGCACTAAGAGTGATCAGTGTCAAATTTCTCCTTGTAATATCACTGCTTTATAAAACAGAAAGGTCTTGAGAATTAAGGACATGATCACACAAGATGAATCTAATATTGATACTTCAACAAATTCTCCCCACTACTTCCATTGAAAACGTATAGGGATAACAAATGAGAATTTGAATTTTGATGTTAGGGTTTAAAGGTTAATCAAAACCACATTGTTTTGATTGTTTTCAGGTCATGATACCGCCTGTTTTGTTGTCAATTTTGGAGTTACTGCAAAATGATGGTAAGATTAGTGAAAAAAATTACCTTGCCCTTTGCTATTGCTAGAGCAGAGCCCTTGGGAGCTTGTAAAAGAAGTTCTATTTTAGTAATATCATTGGGAAAAAAGAAAACCATCGTATGTGCGAATTCTTTTGAAGTTTTTAAGTGTTTAAACTAGTCTTTCTCTTAATCTCCAAAGAAGTTGACCTTTAATCTTATATATTACAACTGTAATTTTTTTTTTCAGAACATTATTGTGATGTGAAAAGTGAATTTGATGCCAAGGTGCCACGGATTTTATTCAAACATGTCTCTAGGTTTGTAGACTTCTTTTAATTTTAGTTAACGTGATTATCATTTATCGGTTAAAAAAATATTTTCTTGAATTTGAAAAACTGAGTCATTTTGATACTTTTGCTCGATATAACTAGTGCCATGTTGATGTTTGCACTACAAAACTGTATTTATAAACATGATAATTAAATCAAAGGATGTGGAGATAATTTTATAGTAACTGAAATGATTTTCTGTAGTTCATGGTGTTGTGGACAAGTGTGTTGACCAAAAGACACTCAACAATACTCACTTCACAAAGCAAAACAATAGCTAACCAACACCAATAAACCTTTTCTCCTTTCACAGCGGACTTGATTGTGAACTTAGCCCTGGAAATGTAACAGTAAGTTTCTTTGTTATTCATTGCTTTTTTCAGCATTGAACTAAAAATAACTTTTGTTTGTATTGACGTGAATTTCAATATTATGCTCTTTATGTTCTGGGGACCAAATTAGACAGTATCAGTCCCCTTTTTCCCGATGTGCTAAATTCAGGGTTGTCACTAAGATTTCAAGTTGCCTGGTAAATACAACAAGTAGGCGGGGAATCAAACAGCTAGGGATTTCTTTTCGTTCTCACGGCTTATTAGCATGTTATCGCTAGAGGTCTTACCAACTTCATCAAACCCAAGATGAAATAAAGAGTCCTTCATTCATTCATTCATTTTGGTTATATTTTTCTTCTATTTTCCTTTGAAAGTAGCTGGGGAAAGTCCCCGGCCCCCGGCTCTTTGACAAAGGGTTAGCAATTGAATTTCTGTACGTCTCTTTAACTGAAGTTTTATTTTCCCTCTGCAGGCTTCCAACACGAGTCGTTTGTTAAAAATGTACGCTGATTTGGATCCTCGTGTTAGGACTCTTGTAGTGGGACTGCGGCATTGGGCGAGGGTAAGTCAGTGAAGAGTCTACTTACAAGTGAAAAGTAAAAATAGAATGAACAGTTTTAATACTTTCTTGCAACAACCTCGGACAAAACCTGTTGCGACACGTTACAAAACTACCTGTTTTTCGGTCATCTTGATTAAAATGCACATTGTTGCCAACTGAAGTGCCGTTCTCCGGGGGCGACATGGCTCTGGTTTCGGGCGATATAACTTTGGGCGAGATGACTTTCTGGCGACTTGACCGGTTGCCGATGGGGAAAATCTAGAGGCGTACTTTGTTTTGTTTAGAGAAGATGGCAACATGACGCAAAATAAAATAGATGAAACTGTCTCAACGGTTTTGTCCGAGGTCGTAGTTAAATTTCAAAAGCTGTCAACAAAACGTATAGGCTTTTATCTTCTAAGGAACATTAAGGATCGCATCTTATCGCAACCGTAAACTTAAGGGTGAAAAGTGATGAATGTGAGACATTGTATGGGTAAGTGAGTACTGATAGAGCATGGTGCTGTTCTCATTGTAGTTATGTAGCATTGATTGTCAATCAGAAGGGGGTCTACCCGGATACTCTTTAGCTCTGATGGTTATTCACTTCTTACAAGAGGTTAAGCCACCAGTATTGCCAAGATGCAATCCAACTGAGGTAAGAGTCATGCAGTCAAAACTTTTCTTTCTAGCCAGCCTTGCAATGGAACGCCTCTCTATTACGGACAGTTCTCTTATCTTTAAAATAGAGACCTCTATTAGATTCTAAGACGAGGAAGACTATGTGGAGGGGATTTTCTCAATACTAAGTAGTGCACGCACGTTAATGGGCGTCATTTTGGCTGGAAAACGTGATAGCAGTCGTCATTCTACTGCGGGTTTTTAAAACCCCCAGTAGAATCACTAATAGTGAGAATGACTATTCTTTGCCGTCACCGCATGACTAGGCCGGAGATAAAATTTTCTCATGCGGCGTTTCGTTGAGGACGTCGACACAGGACGACAAATCTTCTATCACTTTCAAAACTTGCATGTGGTCCTTAAGAATTCACCTACAGGAAAATTCGTCTCGATTTGTCAAGCAAACAATTAATTTTGTGTATTATGGGTAATGTGTAAATGGCTAATTGCAAGTCCAGCGCTCTCACCGCTCGCGGGCCTCGCGGGCTCCAGTTAAACTCTGTAAGACACAAGAGTGACCAACTTCAATTTTCTCTTAAAAATATCAATACATACTCAAGAGAAACGGTTATGAGAATTAATAAAATGATCGCTAAAGAAACAAATTTTCTTCGCTAGAGAGCTTTAGGTTCCGAAACGAGGACGACTGCGAGTACGAGACTTTCTCATTAGGCTGATTTAGTAACAGAACGGGAACGTCATTTGACGACCGGAAAGCGCGCGGAAAGGACTAAACTCGACTTCCGGTGCCCATTTTGCTGCTCTGCCATTGGTCAAGCCAGTTGTTTGATTTGCGCGCGCCGTCGTCAAATGACGTTCCCGTTCTGTTGCTAAATCAGCCCAATACCAAGTAGTGCACGCGTGAACCAGCGTCATTTTGGCGGGAAAATGTGGTAGCCGTCGTCATTCTACTACGAGTTTTATCAAGAATGTCGTAGTGGCGGGAGCAAGTTATCAAATGTAAGAAGTTCTATCATTTTGCTATCGGGAGAGGGCATGACCTCCTTCAGTATAAACAACCGTTCTAACATTTTTGGTGAAAAAAAGGTAAAATGAAGCTTTCCGGGGTGTCTTTTTTAGAACACGCGAAAAAACTTAATCTCGTACGCGTACTCATTCTCGTCTTGAAATCTAAAGCTCCCCACTTATTCTACAAGAAATGCATGGAGGTCAGTCGGGAGAATTTGTATTTAGATATTGCTACTTAAAAAGTTAAGCGACGTTTTTGTTGCCTTTGCCGGTCGTGGTTAATTGAGCTCCCTAATGTGGATTCAGGCACGAGGTCCTGTACCTTAAGTGTAGTTATTAAGAGGATTTTGATTCACGGCATTGATTTGCAGATGGTAGATAAGCCGTGTTCAAAGGAAGACTTTTTAACTGAAAACGTAGATGAGATTGGAAGTTTGTGGTTTCAGCTGTTTAGGTAGGTGCAAATACTTTTCATAAATACTGAAATTTAGGAGATTGAGTATGGTGGTCTCTTTCGGAGTGACACAGGCAAAAAGGAAAAATGTCCCGAGTCATAACTTAGGAAATATAGGAACGTCCCGGATATCACGAATAGCAACCGGAAATTTGATATCTCGCTTAATGGAACGCTTCTGTTTCACACAACGAATCTGAATGCCTTTGTCCTCTAGCCTCCCACGCAGGCGTTTTTAGGGAAGCTCGTTTTTCATCCCTCCCCACAATGAAAAACGAGCTCCCCTAAAAACGCCTGCGTGGGAGGCTATTTGTCCTCCCGCTGTACGAATTTGTCGAGTCAGATCACTGAAAGAGAGAAAATATCAACTCCGGTTGCCTTTTTTGACGATTCATCGCTTTAGGTCCCTATTTACGTCCCACCGAAGCCCACGTGGTTTCAACAGGGTCACTGGGACAGCGCTACAAAAGATGTTTCCCTTTAGAAAGGAGGTTTTTGCCGACCAGCGGCCCGTTTCTCGAAAGTCCCGGAAACTTTTCGGGCCCGAATGCAAATTTTAAAATCAAAACCTGTTGAATAGTAGCTCAGTTCCGAGCCCACAAACCAGTTAGAATTGCTTCGTGTAGTGATAGCTTCATTGTGTTATTTTCACTGAAACTTTGATCTTGAATGCAAACACAACAAACACAAAACAGCTTTCCGGGCCGGAAAAGGTATCGGGACTTTCGAGAAACAGGCTCCAGGTCATCATTTCAGTAGGACAAACTACAAAAGTTGTCGGGTATACATTATGTTAACTATTCAGAATTTCTTTAGGTATTATATTAAACGTTAGTTTCAGAGTCTTTGCGAACGCTAAATTTCTTCTAGCGTCGATCTGTCATTGATTACTTGCAGGTCACATAACATCTGATAATAAACTGTTAAGTGTTAAACGAAGCATTAGGGCCATTTATACGAGGAAAAATAAGACGCGTCTTAAATAAGACGCGAACTGTACCATTTATACGAGCATGTCTTATCTAATAAGACGCGTCTTAGCTAAGCCGCGTCTTATTTTAGACGAAATGTGCCGTTTATACGGAAAGTTCGCGTCTTATTTAAGACGCGTCTTACTTTTCCTCGTATAAATGGCCCTATTAAGTTTTAAATGTAACAACGGCGATTTTAACGTTTTAGGTTTTACTGCCTGGACTTTGACATTCCAAATCTGGTGATAAACATCAGAGAACCAGAGCCTCTTACAAGAGAAGCAAAGAATTGGGGGCGTCGCAGAATCGCAGTAGAAGGTGAGACCGTGCCCACCTACCCCTCCCCTAAGCCAACATTAACACTTAATTCTCACTTAGGGCAAAATGTTGGCTTAGGGGAGGGGTAGGTGGGCAGTTTCTCAGAACGTACAATGATCCCCGTATGATTAGGATTTTTTACGGGGATCATTAAATTAAATAATTTAAATTTAAATTTAAATTATAATTAACTAATTAAAATAATTAAAATTATATTAGGCACTTAACTTGGATGAGAGTAACCAGGAGTCAATTCTATAAACGTCATTACAAGTCAAAGTGTAATTTGCAAGTTTACCTATTGTTTCAAACTCTAAAACAATAGCTACATTTGTACGGTACAGTTGTTAAATTGTTGTTATCGGCAGAAACGCCTTAAATACGCCGAATTGCACAATGAATCTCAACAACTTCAAGCCCTTCAACTTACCTGCGCTTCCCCCACAGAATGCTAGTCTACAATCGAAACTGCTGAACGGCATTGTTTCTATTTTAACTTTCCCTAAATTACATTTAGCGACATTCAAGACGACCCTAGTCCACTTTAGGACTCTGACACGCAATTTAGTCAAATTCAGTCTTGGATCTGGCCACAGAATTGAGTTAATTCTTAAAATAACCTATCAGAACATAATAACTAACTGTTAAATCACGCGTTTGCAACGCTTTAGTGCTGAAACTTTCTTTTTAATACCATTCCACGTGAGTTTCGACTTAACATTTTTTATGTACATTGTAACAAGGCTTTTACGGTTGTTTGTCATTTTCTCAATAGATCCCTTTTCTACAAAGAGAAATGTTGCTTCTTCCATGAGCAGTGACAAAGGTTTGGCCTATGGTTTTCTTTTCGGAAAATAAGTTACGATTTGTGTGAAGGTTAGGAGTGTAATAAGTACATGTATAATGTTGTATCTTTAATTTGTTGACTTATTTTTCTATTTTCAGCGTTCGAATACTTTTTTGCTTGCTGGAAGAACAGTTATTTTTATTTTGGTTCGCTTCCAGGTTCCTCTCAAAATAGTAAGTAAAAATGAATTTCATTTTTTTATTGATACTCTTCATGGATTGTATCCTCTTACGTTGGGGAGGGTTGTTGGCTACATCTGATTTCGTGCTGTAATCGAAGAAGACATGAAAGTGCACTGTTAATGGTTTAAACTCTGTCTATTTGTATGTTCTCATGGGAACTGTTACTTAAAAAAACTGCAGTAGAAAAATAACAGGAAGCACCTATTATGGTAAGAACGACGTCTTCTGATAAATTAAATTCTTGACAATAGACGTATGCTTCTGGTAAAACTCAAAGAATGTTGTTAGGTTTTAAGGCTTTTGGTGGCTTTTCAAAAAATAGGGACTGAGGTCCGTCACATCTTTTGGTCGCGAGTGTTTGCCCGCGCTTTATGCCGCTTGCTTTGTAGTATTCTGTGAGTTCTGATTGGCTCTTCGGAGTGACTGTGCTTGTTTTGATTGGCTGCAATGATGTACTTGTACATTCGCTGACGTCATAGTTCTAGATTTGTAAAATGTTGCCCGCTACGAGACTTTTGGCGGGAACTGTTTCATTGTAAGATGTCATATGACCTCGAAGTAGCCAATGACAGTGCGAGCTGTTGGGGAAAAAAATTCCACCTATGTAGGAGTATGAACTCTTCTCTTTTTCTACAGACCCAGTTGCGGACTCTCCAAACACCAGTTCAAGCAATTCCAATAAGAAGAGTAACAAAATGAAGCAGAAGACCGATGCTTTGATTGAAGAAGAGGCTATTTTTGAGATGGATGACGTAGATCAGGCAACAAACCAGCTGGAGTCATTGGAGCTTCAATCAAGTGATAACAGTGTTAAGCCAAAAGGCTTTCAGTCTGAGAAACCGACTGAGGAAGATTCCCCCAACGTAAAAAGCAAAACTGATGACAGTGTTTCAGACGAGGAGGTTGAGATCACTTTGAGTGAATCTGACAACGGTGAAGCCAGTGAGTCAAAAATCAAGAGTGCAGAGGGTAACGAAGGACATGTTGATTCAGAAAAGCGAGACTCTTTGAATACAGAATCAGGCAACAAAACAGCCGTTGTTGATGTGCCGCCGGACATTGAGTTCAGGTACTAATACGTTTTACTGTACCTATCCGTACTTTATTTCCGTAGTTTTAAGAAATGAAGGTACAAAATTGTACAAAAGTGTCCGAGACAAAAGGGACCCAGATAAAAAGTCCATCACCAAGAACGAGCAATTCGCACTTTCACCAGCAGTGGGTGGGGAAGAGGAGTGAAAGGCTAGTTTTGTTTAACCTCCCAACCCCCTCCATCCCTCCTCATAGTAAGTAAAGGAATGATCACATAAAGCTTGCCTTGCTGAAATGATAACAAATCCAAGAATCATTTCAACCGAGTATTTCGTCTTGATAAAACGCGGACTCCGAGCTTATTTAGAGGCTTCAAAGAATTTTCTCTAGATATAACACTGATTATATCTCGAGAAAAGTTTTTGAAGCTTATACATGATATCGCAATCCGCGTTTTATGGAATCGAAATACTCGGTTGCGTTTCGTTTTTAAACTTGACGAAACACTCCTGGTGGTTTATTAAACTGGACAAAAATTCAGGGTTCGCTTGAACATTAAAAGTCCTTGAATTTCAAATAATAATTCAAGGCCTTAAAGGTTCTCAAAAATTACTGTTGGTCCTGGAAAGTCCTGGAAATTGTTCTGTGGCTACCTTTATCGAACCCAGATTCCCAAGTGCCTAGTGTGAAACGAACAAAAACTGTTATTACTGGAGTTACTTTGCAATGTATGCGGTCCTTGAAAATGGGAATAATGTCCTTGACCGTTTTTTAAAATTCTTGGTTCAAAAATGGTTACGAACTCTGTAAAATGTTATTGTTGTTATGAGATTCTCACAAAAATGTTCACCGTATGTTCAGGTTCGATGCTCAGGTTTTTAAGGGTAAGAGTCGCCCAGTGAGGACCTGTTGTTTCTGTAAAGAGGATGGCCACATCAAGACGCAGTGTCCTGATCTGAGAAAACCTCCCCTGAGACCCCTGCCGCCTATGACTCAACAGTTTGGTGATGTGCTTGAATTCGCTTGCAGGACATGCAGAAGTAAGCATTCATTTTAGAGAGATTTACTTACGGTCACACTTACGGCAAACGGCAGATGCAAGTTAAAAATTTCTCAAAATAGCAAATGACAAAAAACACTCCAACATAATTCTTATGGATGAAAATAACGTAAAACAACCAATGTTTGTGGTCGACAAGAGGAGCCCGCAATCCTAATTTCTAGGTTGTCATTACGCATGCGTTGCATGTATGTAGCCAGCATTCGTTTGGACTTCACTAAGAATGAATGGAATGCACAGAACGCAATTGATCACGCGCGTTTGGACCTTCTATCACTCGTAATCTGATCACGCATGTTTTGACCGTCTGTTACGTGAAACTTACGCAAAGCACAGCGTTGGAGCATAAGCGTTTTGACCTTCGATCGTTGTCGCCCGCACTCCGTAACCTTTGGTTATTACTACTTTTAGGAGTAAAGAACAGTTAAAGACATGTGAAGGAAAACTTGGTCTCGTAGTACAAATTCACGTTTGCCGTTTGGCGTGAACGTGACACGCCCATCCCGCGGATGTGGTACCCCCTCCCCCACCCCATCCTGGTCATTTTTGTGTGGACGGGGGCAGAAATGATCCAGCTGGTCTTCACCCTTTCTTTGGAGTGGAGGGGGTGGGGGGGGCGGGGGGGGGGCGGGTGAGGGGAGTATTTGGGTTTTATCTTGAGACTAGACATGGCATCATCCATTTTCCCCAACATTTTTGTCCAAGATTGTAGACTAAGTTATGGAACAAATTGTTTTGATTATCACTTTCATTACAAAAATCTCCCCTAGTTAAGTCAAAGGGTCAATGTAGTTACCACTTAGCACCACATCGAAATCACTATTTTTTGTCTTTTGTCGAAGACCGGATCGCTTAATGACTAGCTTATGTTTCTTTAGTTTACTTTTTCCTCTTATGTTTTGTTTCAATAGTTTTCAGTGGAAAATAATTATTGCAACAGCACTCCGTTGTTACCGTTGTGTTTTCAACGCGTTTCCTTTGTTGCAGATGATTTCGAATTCGACAGGTTGGAAGTCGGGTACAGAGAGAAGGTTTTGAGAAATCTCGAGGAATACATCCACGAAATCTTTCCAGGTAGGTCGTCAAGTAAAGGACGTGCTTTTTCGGTGAAACATCTGTATGAGTAAGGGGGAGGGGGAAAGGAGCGGTACGCTGACAATAGGGACTTGAAGATTCAACGACGCGACCGCAACAAGAACGTCTAAAAAACAGTAGGTTAAATGTTTGCAAAACAACAACTTTGTTCGTGCATCACGCTTTATAGTACATTTCTTTGCCGTTTTTTACACGACCACGACGTGAAAATGTCTATTTTCGTCTTTTTATGGAGAACGGAAACAAGTAATAACGAAATTTTATTTCGCTTTCTGAACTTGAATATGGTCCCTTAAGTCAAATTCAAATTCCGGAGGGTTCGCCTACATTTGACGAAGTAAGTAAGTAGGAATAATCGCGATAAAGACGGAAAGAACGCAAATTCATTTTTTAAACAACGTTCTCGTTGCTGTCGCATCGTTGGATCTTAAAGTCCCCAATGGTTAAAGAACGCGGTGCCAGTTTTCCTCCCTCGCAGCCAGTGGCTGAATAATGGAGCTTGACGCGATTCAGGTAGAACCTCCTTTTCAACTGTTCCTCGATCAAGACGAAGACAAGAAGACTCTGCTCGCAGGTTGCCACGTCCTCTACTCTTTTGCGAACTATATCACGAGTTCTTTTAGGTCGCTTTGTAACAGATATATAAGGATGAATAGGAAAGAGCTTTTTTGTTTAAATATATATTTTCCCGGTGATAAATTGACTTTTAATTATCAATTCAGTTCAATTATTGTATTTTAAAAAAGACACGCTCGGACATCTCAATTTAGTCATATCTCCTCGCGTGAACGTTGTAAATCTTCGATTTAAGTGATAACTGTTGATTCGATATTAGGTTTTACCTTGAAGTCGAACGCAGAATTTATTGGGAGAGGTTGTGCTCGAAAAACGACACAATTTCTTACATTAAATGAAAATTAATGTTTTACCATCTTCATTTAGGTGCAAGACTTTTCTTGTTTGGCTCTTCGAAGAATGGTTTTGGCTTTCGGAACAGCGACATTGACATCTGCATGACCTTAGATGATATGGCGAAAGAGGAGGTGAATAACTCTGTCTACTGCTGTTTTGTTGTCGGTTGTTTGATTTCTACTTAGCCTTACACTTAGCCTTAACATTGCCTCGATTTTGTCTTACATGTACTCCTTGAAACCCCGTGAAATTCGTCCTTGAATTCTCGGTCCATTAAAGGAGAAAAGTGCTGTAAAAATCTTAATACTCGAGTGAGTGTAAGAGAGGATTTATAAATGAAACCCCTAAACTAATTGATCCCACTTGTTGTGCGTGAGTTTAGAAAGCCCTTTCAACAGAGGCTACTTACGAATCATGTTTGAATCACAGAGATTTTTTTTCATTGCAGGTTGATGCTGTCGAAGTAATCAAAAAACTTGCCAAGCTCTTAAAGAAGCACAAAGACTGTGCCAACGTGTTGGCTATAACTACCGCCAAAGTTCCCATCGTGAAGTTTTACCTCCGTAGCTGCAAACGCGAAGCTGATATCAGTCTTTATAATACTCTTGCGCTGGAGAATACTGCCATGTTGGCAACGTATGCCAAACTGGATGATCGAGTTGCTACTTTGGGTTACACTGTCAAGGTATTTGCAAAGGTAAGGTTATTGCTTTCGACGTAAGGAGAACGCAATTCGTAATCTTAATAATCCTGTTGTAGTTTGTCATGCTGTGGTACTCAGGGGTGACCGTAAAATTCCGAAAGTAAACACTGCCTCCGTGAAAGTAAGGTCAATCGTTAGAAGTTGCCAGCAAAGTTTTGGACGAACGCCTAGCAGGCCGCTTGTGTAAGAGAAGGTCGCCAGTCGTTGTGTAAAGTTATTGTAAGTCTTCTGTTAAGTCCCCCCCTCTCTTTTTCAGGAGAAGAAAGTTATGAAGCCTTCCTCCCGCCTCCCCCCCCCTTACCACCACCACTACCACCTTTGACACTTCATGTCAACTGATCCGGTGTGGTTTATTCATGTAGAAGTTCGGATTTGTTTTTGATCTTCGGCTGCATGATCTCAATGCCAATAAAAAACGTCGTTGAAAAACAGTCTTCACACACTATTGTACTTTTTCGCGATTATCCCAAGTCACCCAGTCACTTAAAAGGAGGGAAATCAGGTTAGAGCTGAAGTGAGGTGACCGCGTCCGAGGTCAAACAGAGATAGTTAATTTTATCGCCTTGCCGTTCCATTTGTTGTTTTGCTTTTTAACCCTATTGCTTTTTTGACATTCCCGGTGCCTTCGCCGTCCTAGTTTCTTCGGATCATTTTACGTTTCTGGGAAACTGCCCACCTATCCTTCCCCTAAGGCAACATTTTGCCCTAAGAAAGAACTAAGTGTTAATGTTGGTTTAGGGGAGGGGTAGGTGGGCAGTTTCACAGAAACGTAAAATGATCCGTTTCTTCAAGTCCCTAATGAAGCTGAATTACCTAACGTTTTGTCCGTCTATTTTGTGTTTAGGTGTGTGATATTGGAGACGCGTCCAAGGGAAGCTTGTCATCTTACGCTTACATCCTCATGTTGCTGCATTATCTACAGCAGTGCAACCCGCCTGTTATTCCAGTCCTTCAGAACCTGTATACAGATAACAAAAAACCAGAGAAGATCATTGATGGATGGAACTGCTGGTTTTGTAAGGACCCGAAAAAGATTGTATGTGTACTTGCCCTTTGGCTTTTTCATCTCTCAGGCTGTTCCAAATTTGCTGTCCAAATGCAATATTTACAGAGAACGTGGCGCCAAGATAAAACTTACTTTAAAATCCAACCGAAGCGTTTGTATCTACAGTATTGAAATCCGCTACGATTGCCTGGTCTCGCTAAAAGTTACCATTAATACCATGAGCCATTTTGGGGGTTGGCTATGAGGCTGGTTCGGTGTTATGTTGGATTGCAGTATGAGATTGTTTTGTGGGCGGCAATTGTGACGTAGTTTCCTGCGCAACCTCTTAACAGCCAATAAAAGAAGCGATAGCTTCCCTAATACAGTCCCACAGTACAATTCGACACAACGCCGACCCTGTCTCGCGCGAAACCTCAAAATGGCAGACATTATTCGAACCCTCGAACCCATGACCTCCCTAACACCGGCCGGCGGGCGCTCTATCCACTTAGCTAGGGAGAGACTTGTGGAGAGCAAGGCCATACACTAGGCTCATATTTGACCGACGCTCCCAAGTTTGTCTGTGTTGTTTTGAACAAAATTTGCTCAAAACCCATTAGTAATGAGTTACTCACACGTTGGAAAATGCGTTCTTGGCTTCTTGCTTTTCAAAGACCTTGTTTTGAATCTTCGAATTGCTTTCATAATGCTAGCGTAGTTTACTCTAGAACGTGGGAAAATTTCGTTATCCTGATAATGTGAACCACCGAAAAACATTTGAAATAATGTAAAAAGGCCACACAAACAGGCTTGATGATAGACGGGAAGACACGAATTACCACTTAACTGTGTAATAACTTGGAGTGACACTTAAGGTGATCTTATCATGCACTCTTGTTTCATTCACAGCTCACATTGTTGACCCTTCATATATGCTCACACGAAGGGAAATTGGAATATGTTTATGTTATGTGCTGTTGTTTTGTTTCTTAGAAAACCCTTTGGAATCAGAAGCAAGCGAATCCATATAGCGCAGGGATGCTGTGGTATGGCTTTTTGAGGTACTACACTGAAAAGTTTGACTTCGAACATGACGTGGTTTGTTGCAGAAGAACAAAAAAGCTGACGAAATTCGAAAAGATGTGGACAAAACATGTGTTTGCTATTGAGGGTAATTTCCTTCCACTGTTCTTTTTTTTTAACCATTTGCTGTTTAAGAGTGCTAAGCCAGAAATAAGAAAAGACAATATATGAATAAGCGATTTGTCTCGCGCTGATTGGTCGAGAGCTATGGTTGATAAGGGTACAGACCTTTCAAATAACGCGATGTTGCGCAATTTGTGTAGTTCCAGGTTGCAGATTCTAAAACGGCACCGCAAAAAGTTATCGCGGTCGCTTACGAGAGGTGTTTCCAACTGCAGGCATTTGGCTGGGACAATTTTGGTGTTTGGATAGGTGGTCGCTTACGGGAGGTGGTTTTGGCGTGTTTTTACTTATGTTTTTATACAACTTATTTCGCAGATCCCTTTAACTTAGATCATAACTTGGGTGCAGGAGTGACAAGAAAGATGGCCAGCTACATCATTAGTACCTTCATTAGAGGACGTGAACGATTTGGATTTCCACGGTACGACATACCCCCACAACTCTGCCAGCGGTTCTTCTTTGACGTGTACTTCTTAACTGATGGTTACGAAGCTCCAACAGACCGCAACTGTCGGGTTTGTGGCAAGATAGGACACATCGCTAAAGACTGCCCACGTTCCAAATCTAACCGAAGAGCTGAAGAGAAGAAAGAGGAAGAGGAACGAGAGGTAGCTAAGGAAAATGGCCAAATACCCGACATAAGCAGAAAACCTTTTAACGCCGGCCCTGCTCGTCCAAGATCTGCATCGGTCCCCGACAAACAGGAGCAGAAAAGGGGGAATGAAATTAGCGCATCGCTGCCTGTATCACAACAAAATAACATTCCAGCCCGCCAAGAAGTGAGTGGTCAAAGCTCATCCAGATCTCAACCCGACACAAACTCTATTACAGCAGCTCTGACTCAAAACCATGAGGTAAAACGTAACGAGAACAGTATAGCGAATAGCCCTGATATGCCTCCATCGCATGTCCAAAGCCCACAGACAAGTGTGGTCAACAAGAATGGATCAGTAACTGACCTTGAAAGCGACACGATGGATGCGAATAGCACTCACGCACAGGCACCATCACCAAAGGATCTATCTGCTAATGTAGCAACTGATATTATCCCAGGAAGCGTAAGCCAGGGTCCTCATGCTACAGGTGCAGGATCAAATAACGGGTTGGGTGGAAGAATGTCACCTCAAGTTAGCGAATCGCCATCTGAAATACCCGACGGACAACCCTTGATTATGAACACTCCACCTCCAAACCAGCCATTTATGTTCCATCCCCAGACTGGTCATATTGTAGGTTCTCCAAGTCAATATGAAATGTGGCTGAGGCACCATGAATTGATGGCAATTACTCAGCCTTTCTCGCCTCCTATCAGACCACTTGTCCCTTACCCGCTGACACCCGAGGCACAGACACAAGGGCAACACTGGAATATTGTATCTGAAAACGTACCCATGCAACACCTTGGGTCACCGATTCGTGGACAACAACATCGTGCTGTGCCTAATGAGCATCTTGTATCTCATAGCCCGCCAAATATTTCTAGAAACGTGATGTGGCCCGCAGGAATACACAGCCCACCTCATGCGGCCAGGGGGCACCAGTATCAGGAACAACAGCTTCCGTTTCCTCGTGTACGCGCCCCTGGTCTGCCAATACCAGTGACAGGATCGCCGCCGCATCCTCGACTTTCTTACGCCAGTCCGCCTGGTGTACCAGTGTCTCCCCAACAGATTGGCCAACATTTTCAAATGACTAACTCGCCTGGCATGTCCCCCCCTGTCTATGGATCACCGCCCCAGCACGCGCTGCAACACTCTGTACCTCGTCAGGAGCGTCTTTCACATCCCCCCATGGGAACCCACATGGTCAGTTCGCCGTATTGGCCATTCTGGTTTTTTACTTCTAAGTGATTGTTGTTCTTTTTGTGTGCCAGTAGATCAATCGTACGGTAAAGAGGATAGGGATTTCATAAACAAATAAGTTATTTTCTCTTGCGCAATCTTGTAGGCCACGATTTAGACAGGTACGCGACAAACTAAAGAGAAAACTCGTGGGCTAGATCTTGGTTTTCGAATGGTATCTGGGCTTTTTGGCAAAACATAGACTGGGTGGCATGCTTTCCATTCAGTTTGTCTCATGAAGATCTTTTCTTTTTTTCACAACTTTATTACACTAGGTTCTTGGTCTTATAGGATTTTATTAACCAGGGTGAAGACAAAACGTCCTTTGGCGAAACATAATTACTTAGTTTCGTTTTGTTCAAAGCTTTTGCTCTAACTTATTATTAAGAACTGTGCGGCTAACATGGCGTGCTGGGTGTTTAGACAGGGGAGCAGTTTATGGACTTCATGAGGAAGGTTGAAGACGAATCGAAGAAACAAGAAAGCGCTCTGGCGACGAAAGTTTCTTCAAATGAGGTTGAGGTATGTATTTGTGACCTTATTTTAGTAATCAAGTTAATCAGCGAGAAAATGCTATTGTCATCTGGTCAGACTATTGTGATAAAGCTCTTAAGTTCTGCATGAAAACTTCCCCTTCTTTTCCTAACACTATCAAATCGTGAATGTCTGTTTTGAAGTAGCACTTTATTATCCAGAAGACGTGAGCAGTAATCAAATTTTGAAAGGGCGTTTTATGGATTTGCCTGGTCAGTATATTTCAAACACGTCATTTCCATGCTTTTTTAACCCATTCTTTTCTGATACTCCCCAAACGTTCGCTAATATTCAGTGTGTGAAATACTGAAAATAAATTGCACCTTGCAAGAAAGGTGATAAACAATTTCCATTCAAGTGTTACCACCATAGACTTCAAGAGACTCAAGAGGCAAAACTTTGCGCGATTTTTTTGTGAGTGAAAGTTTTGAAAGTTTACATTCATTGCATCCAGCGAAGTGGTGCCTATTTCAGTCGGTGTCGATTGTAGCAAACTGTCTATGGACAATTATCAACGCCTCTGTTTTTGAGAGGTTCTCTGTGGTCACTATAGTCTTTTATATTTCTGATTCCTTGCCTTTTATATTTGTCAGCATAAAGAGCTCAAAACTGTCGCTCCAAAGGACCTCAAAATAGCTGAAACTCCAGAGGAACACAAATTGTTATCTAAGCTCAACCAAGTTAAAAGCCTTTGGGAAGAGGGTTTCTCGCTTGCACCAGAAAGAACCTGTCCCAATCCAGAGCCCACGGTTAATGGCCACTTAAAGGAACAAAGTGACGTGGGTAGTTCTACTGGTGAAATACAATTACCAGCGAAAAGGGAGGCCTGGGGGCCTGTTCCTGACACGCACGAGGGAAGTGATGAAATCAAGTTAGTTGACGCGGATCAGAAAGAGAAAGAAACAGTAGCATCAGATGGGAAAATGCAAGCAACTTCATCTCCAAGTGACGAACCTTCTGAAGAAACCAACGTAAAGCACCAAACGACTGGAACAACACCTGAAGAATTGCCAACGCGTAAGCCAAATAGGCGCGGAGGTCGTGGAAGAAAACCCAAAGGTTCTAGGTACATTGAGAGGGACACAAATGCTGTACAGAAGCTGGAGGAGAAATTTCTGGAAGATGAGCAAATTGCAACAAAAGGTAACAGACAAAGTGGCCATGATGAACAAAAATATGACGACGTTGCAGTGGGAACGTCACCACAAAAGGCAAGAAGTGGAGTGAAAAATAAAGAACAGAAAATTGTTGAGGGGAGTAGCGAGTCAGGGACGCAGCATAAAAAGAAATCCCCCAGTAGTGCTAAGGATAGGGATAAGGGGCAACCGGAGATAACCCACCAGGAAGCTCGAACAGCAGAACGACATAACGCCCCCAGAAATTCTACTGAAGGTTTAAAAGGGGCAGTGCCAAAAAAGAAGAATGCAAGTAGTCCAAAGGATGAGCAGAAAAAAGGACAGCAGAAGAGCCGGAAAGGTAAGCGGACGAGGGATTCCGGTAATCCACATGATAGTGCTGGCGAGGAGGTTGAAGATGGAGCTTTTAAACGAAAGAGTGCTCAATCAAGTGAAAGAAATGGGGTTAAAAAAGGATCAGGTGGAAGCTCACAAGATGCACGAAGAGCGGATTTCGGAGATTCCACTGGAAATCCCAGTAAGGGAATTACAGATGCAACTTCCTGTCAAAAGGATTCTCTAACAAGTACAAAGGGTGGGGGCAAAGTAGGATCAGAGGTGAACGCACAAGCTGTACAATCGGCAGATTCCCGTAATCCTCATGGACATTCTATCAAGAATGGAGGAGATGGCGCTTCTAACCGAAAGGGTCCTCCAACAAGTACAAAGAATGGGGGCAAAAAAGAACCAGAAGGGAGCTCTCAAGGTGCACGATCCGAGGATTCCAGTGATTCCCTCGGAGGTCCTCACAAACTAAAAGGAGGTAAAGGCGGATCTCCTAAACAAAAAGGACCCCCAACGAGTACAAAGAATGGGGACAAAAAAGGATTGGAGAGGAGCTCACAAGATTCACGGAAGGCAGATTCCGCTGATTCCCCCGGAAGTCCTGTCAAGGGGGATACAGGTGGATCTGCCAAGCAAAAGGATTCTTCAACAAGTAAAAACGATAGAGAGAACAAAGGATCAGAGAGAGGCTCGGAAAGTGTACGAACCGCCAATTCCGGGGACTCCTCTGGAAGTTTAAGCAAGGGAGCTAAAGGTGAATCTCCTGACCAGAAAAGGTCTCCATCAAACACAAACGACAGGCAGAAAAAAGGACCAGAACCTGCAGAAACTTTTGGTAATTCTTCAAGAGATTCTAGCAAAGGTGGTAGAGGGGGAGCTTCAAACAGGCGACGGAGAAGACAACACTCCCGTGCCAATAGTGAAGGAAAGGGTGGCGAAAAAAGGGACCCGAGGAGCCGAAGCAATAGTGAACCGGACAGACATCCTTTTAAAAATTCTTGAACTCTTCAACGATGGACAGGGCGCTCACCTGTGAAGAGTACTTGATACTTCACAAATGCAAATCGTGGTTTAACTAGACCAACTATGGATCCTTTTTCAGGATGCAAAGAAAGTAATGCTGCTGTAGTGTAGTTAATATACTTCTCTAACTTGTATGTTTTGTTGGTCATCTGATGATATTCCAGAGAACATTTTCGTTCAACTTTTCTGATTTATGAAACGACAAAGGGCGAATTCCCTCGAGACCTACGTTGAGAAACAAACCATACAACTTAAAGAGGTCAATTTATCCAGAGCACCAGACATAAGCAACTTCCATTAAAATCCTGACGTAAAGTAATTAAAAAACAAGTGGTGCCTAGCAATGGAAAACAGTAACAGAGAAGTTGAAATTGTCACACCATAGGCTTTTGTCCACTGACACAAACATTCGACCTACGTTTCACGTGCACTGGACGGGTTAATGTTCAATAGACTTTACCTGCCCCGTTCCACAGGACATATTCAGGGCAAAATGAATTGACCAAAAACATTTGTCCCCAAAAAGATAAAACTGCTTCATGTGACAAACGAACAGCTGTATGGTTCTTAACTCATTGCGTCGTGTCTGTAGCACCCAGTTCTCGGTTGTTAGATACCTAAAACATTCTTTCAAATGTGCGGTGAAATATGGATTGTGTCAACCGATATCCAAGCAACAAGAAGTGATATATACGAGAAGGAGTGTTTCATCTGATATCCCAACACCGAAAGAGTGTTATATCAAACACGGGAGGGAATGTTTCTTATCAAATCCAAACATTGAAAGAGTGATACATAAACACGAGAAAGCGTGTTTCTTATGATATTCAAACACCGAGAAAGTGATATATCACACATCAGAATGAGTGTTTTATCTGATTTTCAAACACAGAAAGAGTGAGATATCAAACGTGAGAAGGAGTTTTTCTTATCATATCAAAACACTGAAAGAGTGTTATATCACACACGAGAAAAAGTGTTTGTTATGATCTTCAAACACCGAGAAAGTGATATATCACACATCAGAATGAGTGTTTTATCTGATTTTCCAACACTAAAAAGTGCTAAGTCAAATACGATTTAAATCATTTTTTTCCAATTGTCGCGTGATTCTTTTGTGATCAAATTCACCTAAACATCTGCTTGCAGTACACCCGTACTCACAATATTCTGGGACATACCTAATGTTTTACCGCAGATTATTTCATACTATGTACTAGGACGTCATAACTTTAGAATCAAACATACAATCGATCGGACCAGAAATCGAAAGTCAGTACGTAATTCGTAGTTCTTAAGGGTAACTAAGACTCTTTTTAGGTTGCTTCATTCTATTTCAGCTACCAGAATCCCTTAGCTCCGCGGTTTTGCTTCAAATTGGAGCTGCTGTCAGCCCAGTTTCTTGATGTTATCGGTTTACGTAAGCCTGGACACTATGTCCTGGTGGCGTCTGATCACCGACCAACACCCACTCTTTTTCACGAGGACGTGGCTTTGGTTTGAGATGGACAGAGAAACTACACTTGTTAAACCCCGCTAAAATCACAAATATCAATTTTACTTTTTACTCAGTGTCTTAAGCCCGTCCGTAAACAAGTAATAATTATTTTTCTTCGTTTTGACGAGATTGTTTTAAAAGTTTGGTAGCTCTCATATGTAACAGTGTCGTTGGGTAAAACTAGACTTAATATTTGGAAACTCCATACTTCTCTGTAGTACATAATAGACTGGTGTATTAAACCCTGTTACAGTAATTTATAATTCTTGAATAAACACTCAACTGTTTCGTTCTGTTTCAAAAAATGTGTTGTTTGTAATCTTTTTACTGACGTATACCCTTAGCCGGTTCGGAGATGGGAGGAAATGGGCAGGAGGTGATCTGCTATCAGTCTTCTCGGTATTAAGGGAAATGTTCAAATTAATTTTAGTCAATGCAACGGGGAACCACGAAGAATCTGATGGGCATAATATTTTGGCGCAAAAATCTTAAATATGGCTGAAATATTTTCTGTGCATGAAGCTTGCACTGTCTGACAAACTGGACTGGAACGTATTTCTAGCAATTTTTTAGGGAGAGGGCTATGCAAAAGAAAGCTTTTTTACGGTGTGTAGGGGAATACATAGCGACACCACTAGTCTTTCCTTGGAGTGATAGGTGCTCACTGGGTACAATGGTTTTGATAATTGTTTTGAACGATCCAGTCATTATGGTCAGTCATTTCATTGAGGGTCGCACGTCAACCGGAAGTGAAACCTTTTGCCTTTTGATATGCCTTGACGCCAACCAGTTTGCACTGCTTATGGGGGCGGAAAATTAACTAAACTACAGAATACAGGGCCAATTTTCTAGGTATATATTCGTTGAGGTCGCTCGGTAGTTACTGAATAGCCGCCGAGCCGCTAAAATATATACCTTTCTTGTTCTTGAAGACTCTAACCTCCAGGCTAAACCTCGACTGCTTTACTTGTTTTTTGAAACTTAGACTTAATTGTCTTTATCATGCCTGTCTTACACTTATATGTCTGATATCTTTCTTGTTCTATAAACACTTGTCTTGACTAACAAGTCACCGAACCACTTCTGTTTAAGACCCTGTATTCTGTAGTTGCTCCAAATAGACCACTGTCCAAGAATGCAAAAAATCCACTTCCGGTTCATAGGTAGATACATCGTGTAGGATACATAGGGTCCTTGGCTAAAAGAAGGATTCATTAAAAATGGCGGCAGGAGGGATTGATAGTGGATCCATTTCCTCGAGGGTTTTAGTGCCTTCTTTTCATGATTTCTTGCTGGAAATTGTTCCAATGTTTACTGAAGAAAACCTCAGAGCCATGAAGCGCTTTATGAAGGATGTTATTTCGTTGAAGATCGGAGTTGAATGCGAGGCCGCTCGCGATCTTTTAGCTGAACTGTGGAAATCACACTGTATCAGTGAACATGATTTGGATTTGCTCGAAGATCTGCTTGGCGTCAGTGGTAGGAGAGACATCCTAGATATGTTACGTGATTATAAAAAGAAGTGTCCTTCAAATTTGGAAAGTATGTCCACAGAACCGATCGGCGAGCTGATTCCAGGTAATTAAATCAGTGGTTGTGAGTTTTAAAATTTTCTATCTTCAACTAGCTCCAATAATCATACATTTTTTTGATACCGGAACTGATGGCATTCGTAACTTGCTACAAATTCTTTTTTGAAGAGTAAGATTGCTTAGGGTTTGGCCACCTGACTGAAAATTGCAGTCTTCTCTGAGATTTCGCAACTTGCTTTCTTTGTCTGGGAATGAAAACACTTAAAAGGGCGGCTAGTAACTTTGGCCCATTTAGCAAGGCTTACTGTCCAAATTTCATGCTTTTTGAGAGTCTCTAATAGATCTATGCTAAATTGAAAAAAAAATTGCAGAGTAATTTGTTTTCATGCCTGGGCACGTGTTTAATTAAGCTTATAGGATAATGTTTTCTTTACAGAAGTATCAAATAATTTCTGTATTTTTAAAAAGTCACGAAATTCAGCTTTCTTTGTTTACAATGGTGCTCACTCAAAGGAATGGACAACAATGTAAAAATAATTAAAGTGTCATAATTTCTATCTTTAATATTCTTATACACACAATTGCATACACATGTGGCCTTATCTGCTTGTGTCAATTTCGGGGGTAGCAAATCCAAGATTTTGGATCAGAAGAAAAACTTAATACTTCAAGGGTCAGCACAAACACTGCTGAGATTTTTAGGATTAGATCAAAATTTCAGTTTCCAAGATCCATGATTATTGATGCATTATTTTGTCATGCCTGTCATAACCTGTTATAGTGTGGCAGGCATGCTAGCAAGCTAAGGTCCTCTTAGGATAAAACTCTGACAAGCGACGTGCTTGAAACAGTAGCATAGGGCAGCAGAAAAGGCCACAAATGATGCAAAGATGGGTTGAAACTGCGACAGCAACAGAGAAAAGTGCAAATACAAATATTAAAATACATGGCTTCCTCCTCAACATATATATAGGATATTACATGGCTGCACAGAGATACAAAATTTGTCTTTGAGTGTTGAAAAATATTCATGAGTGAAATATTTTTCAACGCGAGAAGAAAAATTTTGTATCTCCAAGCGGCCATGTAATGTTCTATTTATTATATAAACATCAATGAAATACCAAACCATTTCACTTTAACAGTTTTTTGGTGTGAAAGGCACGATTTATTATGTAGCCATAGCAAAGGTGATATTTTCACATGTGAAGATAGCATGTTATTTTCACGTGTGAAGATATCAAGTTTTTGCATGAAAGCTCACCTGGTATTTCATTAATTTGGTGTTTATATAATAAAAGACAATACGTTTTCAAATTCAGACTAGGGACATACATAACCCCCCTAAAGGCTGGTTATCACTAGTGACAGAGTTTGAGTCGGAATCGTAAGCAGAGTTGTAAGAGCACTTATGATCTTGTGAAAGTCAAAATTCAAAGCTGTAAGCAGAATCATGAGCTCTACAGAATTGGAGTCGGAAGAAGCAGAACATTTCTATATTCTTCCAACTCCACTTTTGACCCCGTCGTTTCGTTCCACTTATGATCTAGTGAAAACCAGAATGTCAGAGTTAGAAGCAGAAGCGAAAGGACAAACCAATCACAAAGCACTTTCCCACACTTTGTGATTAGTTTAGTTCTTTTGCTTCTGCTTGTGACTCCGTCAACCCAGTTTTCGCTTGATCATAAACAACAGAGTCATATTAAAGCAGAATCAGAACACTGTTTTCACTGGATTGTAAAGCTCTACTCTTCTGATTATGACTCTGACTCCATCGCTAGTGCAAAAATTCTTTACCAATTGAGAAGTAAATTTTTCAAATGGAAGGTTTTATAGCAGATCTAATACCTTAAGAGGGCCTCACTAGCCTGCGTGCATGGTGGGGAATGAAAGGGGTTGGGGAAGGGGATTGGGAGGAAGTGAATAAGGGAGAGGGACTGGGGCAAGGTATGCAGGCCACAGGGCATTCATTAGGCATCGAAGATCGAAGAATTCTCCATTTACTACACAGAATTCTCCGGCTAACATGCGATAGCCTGTGACTAAATTTTCTATTCAGACGGGAGCCTCTTTCACAATATTCTCCTGTAAAGTTATGCCTTTCTCCTGCTGTAAAGTTATGCCTTTCTCCTGCTACTGGAATTCTTTGTAAGGCCATGCCTGTTATAATACAAAAACTCCAATGTTATTTTATCTAGTTTCTTCCCTTTTAGAACACTTGTGTCTTAAAAGTAAGGAATTCCCTGCTTTATCTTAATTTTGTGTTTCCTTCTTTTTCCTTCTTTTTTTCTACAGCATGTGGAAGGTCTATAGTCTCCTTTATACTACATAGCAGTGAAGATTCAGTGACTCAGAACAGGATGATTGCTTTCAAGAAATCTTTGTGCGAGAATTTAAAGCTAGTACAGGCTGAAGTTACTTTCATTCTGAGCATCCGGTTTCCTCAGCCACATCTGGTATTTCAATTGCCGACTGAGGCCTTACCTGTTTTGCGACACTGTACTGGCTGGAGAAAAGGGTGGCTTTTTTCCTTGGATGTTACAGGGGTGCAGGTGTCTGGTGAACAGGTGATTGCTGTACAAGAGCTGAAAATATCACAGCTTAGGCTGCAGGAAGATCCAGGTAAAATAATAATCATTACACATTGTCAACAAGGGGCCAACAATAAGCTTAAACTATAAAAAAAACTAGACAATGTTGGCTAATGGATAGGATTGTACTATGCTTACAATAAGCTATGTATCACAGCAAAAAAAAAAGAGATAAATGTAGTATTCACTGGTTTGTAAATGGGGTGATAGCTTTGCTAAAAGCTCACACCAGTACAAGGCTTTTAAGTTAGGCAACTTAAAGCCAGGCCAGCAAGTGAAACCCCTCCCCCCCAGGGGGGGGGATTTTGCTTTCTTTCTGGAGCAAAATACCACAGGGTACCCATGCCATGAGTTTTAAAGAAAAATTATCAAAAAAATAAAGCAATGAATAAAGCAACATGAAATTGTGTCTTTTTACTTACCTCTCTAATCTCTCTAGAAACTTGCATCTGGGCACCATACATCTGGCCCACGGACTACTAAAAGAGCAACCTCATTCCCAGGGTTCTCTCCTACCCGCCCTACGGAGCGAGAGATAGAGAGACCCTGGAAAACGCTGGTCACGTGGCTCCAGAACAAAATTAATTCTGAGGGAGGAGTCCTTTGTCTCGCATTTTTTTTTTGTCTGGTTTTATATTCGCAATGTTCAGGCAGTGATCGCAACAGCAAGATAGATTTGCTAACCCTACTACAACTATAACTGAAACTAAGGGAAATTTCTGCCTAAACAAAACTATCAGATAAACAAGTGAGTTACCAGAGAAGGAATCAAAAAGGAGCATTGTCGCCGGTTAAACCGATGACACCAATCGCTAAAAATCTACAATCTTGGGTTATACACAAGCGAGTTAATTGTTTGAAGGTAAAATCCCTGTATGTTGAACTTAGAAAAGTGTTAAATCAATAGATCAAAGATAAAAATAATTATATACCAAGGCGACATGGAAGACAACAGGAAATAGTATAAACAGAGACAAAACAGACAACATAACCTGCACAATAGTAGTCTTGAAAACACATACAGGCACTGTACATTTGTCTTCTAAAGTGGCCTCCACAACATGATGGCAATTCAAATCTAGTGCGTTTTGGTATGAATACTGCTACCAGGATACCTAAATTATTTTTGACTGCACAAACGGTGAATCCTCCGCGATTTCCCGTGCATGTGCCAAATGAAAGCATCGCTGATAAACATCCGATTAACATCCAGATATTCTGTAGGAACTTACGCTTTCGCTGTCAAAGGATTGTGTGCATTATTTTCGGCATTCAAGATTAGGTCAGGTACACAGTTTCATGGCTGCACTGACCTGTCTACGCTCTATAGAGACAAAGCTCACACTTACCTGCCCCTCCCTCAAATCGTTTGTTTGTAATCTCCCAGATTCTGGGAGCCACATGACCAGTGTTTTCCAGGGTCTCTCTCTCTCTCGCTCCGTAGGGCGGGTAGGAGAGAACCCTGGGAATGAGGTTGCTAAAAGGGTAGCAAATAGTGTGACATAAACAGCTGGGTTTATAATGTGTTTCTTGTTTATGCTAGTTCTTGTTTCTCCAATACTGAGAGTCAGCGAAGCAGCCCGAACAGGCGATGTCTCAGAATTAAAAAGAGTACTTGATGCTGAGACAATTGTGAAGCGAGACTTCTTGCTTAAAACCCGCACTGATGGTGCCACGCCACTAATCGTAGCTGCAAGAAATGGCAACACTGCTATAGTACAGTGCCTCCTTAATGAATATGATGTTGACTTGGAGCAAGAGGGAACAGTTAAAATTGATGGCGACCTTATTGAGTGTTGCACGCCACTTTGGATGGCTTCTCTTGGAGGTCATTTGGCAATTGTTAGGTTGCTGTTGGAGCGAGGGGCCGAAGTGAATCACACCACTCTGACAAATTCCACCCCGTTAAGAGCAGCATCTTTTAATGGCCACACTGAGGTACAGATTAAAATGCGTTTGTGTATAAATTACAGTCATTGGTACTTAACTTGAAATGAGTGCTGGGAAGAAGGCAGTTTTACTCTTAATCCAATGTCAAATTCTCTTTTTGTTTCACAAGAAAGAAAACCCAAGGCAATTTTAAGGAGAGAGTAGCAATTTATCTAAATAGTTTTTTTTTAGGCTTTTTGGCACCCTTAGCATGTGTCCTACAGCAGTGTGTGTCAATTAATATTTTCTGCCTGGGCATTTTAACATATTTTTTGTTTCTGATGTTTTTATAGGTGATACGATGCTTGATTAGTCACGGTGCAGATGTCAACAAGCGAAATCAAGATGGCAACACATGCATCATGGTAGCCTGTTGGAATGGGCACCTTGGTACATTTGGATTGCTGCGCACATCAGGAGCAAACATGGATGTGCAAGATAATCAAGGCTTTTCGATGATCCACTGTGCTACAGCAGCAAATAATCTTATGTTGTTACATGAGCTTCTTCCAGTGCCAAACATGAGTGCAGTAAATGCTAAAACCTCCGAGGGTATCACACCTTTGATGCTTGCATGTGAGAAGAACCACCCGGATGTTGTTTTGTTTTTACTTCAGAGAGGTGCTGCAGTGGATGAGAGATCTGACAAAGGCCTCACAGCAGCTCATTTCTGTGCTCTTTCTAATGACATTGCCAGTTTACAGCACCTCATAGACTACAAAGCAGATTTGTCAAAGTCCACTGAACGAGGGAGTACGGCGTTGATGTTAGCCTGCGCTAAAGGCTATGTTACTATAGTAACTGCATTACTTAGAAACACTTCGAAATCCAAGTTGAAAAGTGAACTCAGCTCTGCTCTAAAGCTCCGCGGACTGACTGGACAACAAAGCTGTCTAGGGCTCCTCTCCACACCTTCAAGAGGAATGGATATAAATGTTGCCAATGAAAATGGCGAGACATGTCTAATGATGGCCTGCGAGAAAGGCAGTGTGGAAATCGTCAGGATTTTGCTGGATGAAGGAGCTGATCCTAATGTATCAGACAAGAATGGCGTCACTCCGCTCATGATCTGCTGTAGGCGTGGTCAGGATAGAATCGTGCCTCTGTTGCTGAGAAAGGGAGTTCAAGTGGATCTGATGAATAATGAGGGTGACACTGCTTTGCACATCTGTATACGACATTATCGAGAGTTCAGCGGTCATAAAAAGTGTCTTGAGCAGCTGCTGAGTACTGGAGTTCACATGGAAATGAAGGTAAGTCTGGTAACAGTTTCACTCATTCCCAAAGTTCATTTTTTAAAGTGCTGAAAAATAGGCCATTTCCAACTTCTAAAAACTCTAGTTTTCAAAACGAGGTTAAGTGCAAAACTTGTGAAAATGAGTTTTATTTGCATGAGAATGAAAATCATTTTCAAATCAATAGGGCTGCACCTAGCCTCGCTTTGAAAGAGAACCTTGGGGTAACTCGCAAATGGCCTATCGATAGCACAATGTAAAAGTACTTGACCAAAATAAATTCCAGAGCATTTTGAAGGGGAGTCATGTATGTAAAAGATTTCATTCTTTCTACTTAAAAAATGCATGACTCAGGCTTTAATTGACATTGTAATTATATAGAATCTGTCTAACTTCTTAGAAAAATGTGAGAACACGAAAATGTTATAAACTTTGTTGTGGCATTAGTACTCTAGAGAGATACCCTGCATCTGTTTCTTCTACTAGTATTAGTACAAGTGTTGTAGTATAGTGGCTTTGATTTTTGTCAAAAGCAGGCAAGTCTTATTGTATTTTAGCCAAGCTAGCACATCAGCGGAACACCATGAGTAAGACAATTTGGTTATCTATGCATCCAAGAAATTTTGGTTCTGACAAAATTGTCCATACGTCCATTCCTTCATGTTGGCAGATGTGAAATGGCACACTGATTAGCTAGGAGTCCAAGGCATATACTATCTGTGTTTCACTTGGTGTTGGGCATCCATGTTATGGTCAATTGACAGCTGTCAAAAAAGGGTATCTGCTGACCAGTGTCTCATGACTGTATTATGGGTTCACATAAACAACTCATTCAGGTGACATTTTTTTTCACTTATCCTCTGTTTTGGTCTTTAGTTGATCGCAGGCTCAGGTTCATTTTTTTAAGGTGGTATTCAGTTTGCCTTTTGCTTGTGGCAAAAGTTGAATTACTTGAGAAAGACATTTCTTAAAAGATCCTACGAGAACTTTGCTTTTGGCCTTGGCTAAATCTATATATTACTAATAGGAACACTTCTAGTGGCAGAAAAATCTTTGTAACTCTACCCTATTAAGTGTAAGCGCTGTTCTTTTAATGTAGAATGCTTTAGGAGAGACACCTGTCTCAGTTGCTCTGAAGAGCAAGGCTTGGTGCGGACAAGCTCTTGAACTACTGCATGGTAGAGGACTGGAACTCAGTACTTCGCTCCAGGACTCTGCAGGCGATACTGTCTACCACAAGTGCGCACGCTCAGGTGATCTATCGTCCATGACCTATCTCTTGGGGATAGACCATAGGGGGCCACTACAGAGGAATCATGATGGTGACACGGCGCTCCGAGCTGCAGCGCTTGAAGGCTCCGAAGTCATGACACGCACACTGCTTAACACTGTCAGCGGGTTCACCATGAAAGACAAAGTTGAAGCTCTGGAGTTGCTTGGCGTTGGTCTGTTGGCTAAGGAAATATCACGTGATTGGGATATCTCTGCAGTGGTGAGTTTCTGGAAAGAATCCCTAGAGCTCAGGCGCACGAATGGCATTCGTCTTCCTGCAAGTGCACCTCGCGAGTTTCCGTTGGAGTATTTCTTAGAAGCGAGGACGTTAAGTGATTTCATGTCATTTTTGTCGAATCCCAGCGCTGCTACTGCGCAAGCGCTGCAAATTTGTGACCGTGTGTTGGGTGACAGACATTCTCGCCTCCCCTCCCTCCTGGGGACTATCGGAGAAAGATTTGCGCAGATCGGAGAGTTTTGTCGAAGTTTGAACATCTGGCTCTACGTCCTGGAGGTACAGCTTAGATCGCTTCCTTCATCGTCAGAAGCAGTTGAAGATGTTCTTAACACGTTCCGTTGCTTTGCGGATGCTTTTGGTTTCGTTCTGAGTCGCAGTGGGGCTGTTCTTCAGTTCAAGACAGTCCATCACGTCGTCAGAAGTGTTCTCCAGGGCCTCAGAACCTATCCTACTTTGTATGAAGCACGTGACAAAATGATGGTCTACCTCCTGCACTACCTGGCCGCCATGCTGGAAGTCGCGACAGCAGAGCGCGACGTAGTTGTTGCCATGGATACGGCCAAAGAAGTTGCTAGGGCTCGTTTGCGGAGTACAACAGGCTCCACTCTCCTTCACCTTGCGTGCAGTTCCAAAACCGAGGACATCAGCTCATTAAAGGAACACCTTCACTTTCCAAGTCTTCGAGTCTGCGAGTTCTTGCTGGACAGCGGTATTGACTTGAACGTAGTAGACAATGCCAGAAACACAGCGCTTCATGTACTACTCACCAAAGGTCACGCGGAGAAAGACGTGCTTTCCTGTTTGTTAAAGTCAGGCGCTCATATGGACGCGCGGAATTCTTCAGGAAAGACTGCTCTTGATCTCGCGAGATGTGAGAAAGTTCGCCATGTTATACGCGCTGCCGAACTGGTGCCTAGTCTCCAGTGCCTCGCAGCTGGGAAGATCGTAGGAGAAAAGATATGGTATGAAGGAATAGTTCCGAAGAGACTAGAAGCATTTATTCAGCTGCATTAATCTAGAAGAACAGTATAATGAAAAAAAAAAATGTAGCGCTTTTCAGAAACGTTGGTCTCTGTTGTCATAACAACAATAGGAGCAACAAGGCTCTCAAAAATTAAGCAGGTTTCGAGATTTCTGTTATCAACAGTTTCAGCAAAGACATTTTGGATGAAATGAATTTTTTCAATTTTTTAAGAATCGTCCATGAATCACCTGGTGGAAAAAAAGTACTGCAGTAAGTTCAATAGAAGTTACATCTGTAGCGTTAAAACAAAACTTGAATGATACATTAGTAGAACAGTACAACTTTCTTTAATTTTTGAGACATGTTTCGACGATAAATCTGTCATCAGCTGCGTAACTTATTTTGAAATCATCGTTGATCGCAAATTAAATATCTTATTCAAAAAATATCTAATTCATTTTGCTAAGCATATTTTCAAAACCTTGGTTAAAAACTGCAAGCGCATTAAGTTGGTGGTTGAAAGCCGAAAACATACAAAAGCAGCACGAATTGCTACCAATAGCTATGCGAATAATGAATGAAGGAGTACGAATTTTTTATTTTTTTAGAAAAAATAAAGTAGAAAAGCAACCCAGCATAATGAAACTTTGAGTATGTCGATGATTTTGTTAAGTTTCATTTGACCATTCACATGAAAGGTACTGAGTACTACTTCCCTTTGGTACTGTTTATTATGCTGTGTTAGGTGATTCTAACTTTTGACTCTGTGGATGAAATCCTATGGTGTGACCATACAAATGAAAGCTACTGAGCGGTATTTTCCAAAGGTATTGTTTATTATGCTGTACAAGTTGGTTCTATTTTTTGTGTCTGTGGATGAAATCCTATGGTGTGACCATTCAAATGAAAGCTACTGAGCAGTACTTTCTTGTGGTACTGTTTATCATGCTGTACAAGGTGGTTCTAAGTTTTGAGTCTGTGGATAAAATCCTAAAGTGTAACCATTCAAATGAAAGCTACAGAGCGGTACTTTCCTGTGGTACTGTTTATTATGCTGCACAAGGTGATTCTTACTTCTGACTTTAGGGATAAAATGAAGGCTACTGTACTGAGTTTATGCTGTGCAAAGTGGTTCTAACTTTTGAGTCTGTAGATAAAATCCTAAAGTGTGACCATTCAAATGAAAGCTACTGAACATTACTTTACTGTGTTGCTGTTTATTATGCTGTACAAGGTGGTGTTTACTTGTATGTCTGTGGATGAAACTATGAAAGGGGTAAGTAACAATTTAAATGTAAACCGGATTTACTTGAGAAATACTTTCCCGTGGTACAGTACTATTTGTTATGCTGACTTATTTCGGGTAAAACGAAGGCAAGGCGCCAAAAAACTAGACTGGATGAAAGTGGAAACTCAAAAAAGAAAGAAAGGGGAGGAGAGAAGGAAAATGACTTAAACAAGGAGAGGGCTGCGATGAAAAGTAAGTAGAACTAAACTGAAGGTGAGAGAAGTGGTTCTTTTTTAAGTCTTTCGCGCTGTTAATTTTTTCGGCAAAAGCGTATGGGAAGATCTTGAGCAACACGAAAAACCCGCGTTGCGTGTACTTTCATTTATTGAATATTTATATCACCATATTTTACATCAATAACGGACGTCAGAAATAACTCTTCCCAAATTTACAATTAATGAAACTTTGTAAGCAAATCAAACACTGTTCAGTGAAATTTAATACGTGAACTGTGTTCCTTTTTTGAGTTGGATCGTGGCCGAGTTGTTTGGTTTCGTAACGTGTACATTGGTCCTATTTTACCCATCAGTTGTCAGCTCTCTTTGTTTGTGCCCCTTCTAACGATCTTAATCTGTAGTCTTTTCCAGCCTCCACGCAAATGGCCAGTGTTTCTCGGCAGACGCGGTCAAGGGCCTGGTGAACCTAGGAATCGAACCAAAGTCACGATGAGTGAGTGTTAAAATATAAAGCTGGTTTTGACTGAGGGACGGGTATAGCGAGAATGAGACATAGGTAGACAGTTGGAAGGTCTAAATTACAGGAAAATAAAGCAAATATTTTTAAGTGATAGTAATTGGAAAACCTGTTGAAATGATAATAATTTGTTTGAAATTACAATTTTGGCGCTAACCGCGATAAGTAATCTGTCTGGCTTTGACGATTTCTCTATCCGATATTGTACAGAATAACCAAATATGAAAATCACACCGTATAATAATTTGGTTATCGAGTACCTCAAAGGCAGGGCTTTAAATGCTTTCGAGCCGTTTTTATTCTTTTTTTTTCGCTTGGTTCCTGATGCACAAACGCTACTGCGATTATTTTTCTCGTTTTAATTGTCTTACATTTGATGAGATAAAAACGACTGCAAAACAAAGAAACGCCAAATACTGTGGGAAAGACAGCTGGTAAAGTCTCAATCTTTTATTTGATTTTTTCCTGGACCGTCAGCTTTAGGTCTGGAAATACAAAAAAGTTTTCGTATAACTATTAGCTCTTTTTTCCATTCATTTTATTTAATTTTTTTTCAAATTTCAGTATTTTATATCATCTAAAATATTAGACCGCAAATGAAATTAAGATGACACTATCCTACGAGTCTCACTTCGATGCCAAAAGATTTCGGCTCTTATAATCTTCTGCAAGTGATTCAGTCTTTTTGCACGAAAGGGACACCATTACAATGAAGCAAGGCAATTTAATTCATTAAATCGACTGTTAGTTTTAGTGCTTTTTCAAAGTGTGCGTTCTTTTTGAAAGTGAAATAAAATAAATATTTCTTACGCGAAAATATTTAGTCGTTAGTGATACACGCGAGAGGATAACAGACTCGTACAAGAAAGTACCAGGAAACAAAATAAAAACTGTTCAAAATAAAACTTTTAAAACTCTTTCATGTTTAAGTACATTGAAACTTTCCGACTCCAGCTGCTATTTTTTTTCCTTCGGAGTTCAACATTCTCCTTGAACTTCCTCAGCCACCCCTGCTTATCTACGCAAAGTTCACTGATTTCGTACGCTGAGCTTTTCTGAAGATGGTTTGTTAAAATGTTTACAGCATTCTGTTAAGAGACGTCAAGATTTTATCACTTCGAATTTTGTGGCAGATAAGATTTCTTTGTTTTTGAATTCAATACTTGGAGTAAAACGGAAGACGCCAAAATATGATTCAAATACCTCTTTTGTTTAACATCCATTCATGTTGGTCCAAAGCAAGAAAAAAAATGATAAATATGACCGTTTATAAAGCAAGCAAAGTTTTAGCAATTTGGACGCGCCTTACATTATGTGCAGGAGACTATTTTTTAACTTTTTAGTTAACAGAATTTCCAACAGGAATCGCGAAGGTTCAAGAAAAAAATTGATACTGTTTACGCTCCTTTCACAAATCCATCTAGACATGGTAATATTCGGTTTGAGTTCTGTTTCATGTATAAGGCAAACAAATGTTTTCGACTTACCTTGACTTGCCTTTTACCATTGACTCCAACATTTCCAATTCCAGCTGTAAAGCATTCTGTTCTTTGAGCAAACAAAGCTAGCGTGAGTAGAAAACCAAGAAAAAATACTACGTACTTCATTCTTTAGATCTGTCTTGAAATCTAGGAGATGGAAACCGCTGGATGGTGGCTAAAGGCAGTCGGGACTGGCTTGTCGAAGAGCTGTGTTTTGTGGCTTCGCTAAATCTGACCGGTCTCTTTTATAGTGACATACTTAGAAAATTAGCACGACTTGCAATAGAATTAAAATTTTGTTTACTTGCAATTAAACCTTGCTTGCTAAATTAAGGAAGAACAGAAGGCAAATGTCCTCATTTGGCCATATCAGGGCTTACATTTCCGTAAGCTTCTTAATGCAGAAGTTAATATGAATACCATAAATAACTTCCGACGCTAACGCGCGATTGGCTGGCTTACAGTGGAGGCCTATTAACCGGTAGCAATAATGAAAGATAACAAAACACACCGCACAGGTTTTGCGAATAGTATGGTGGATTACGGAAATTAACTCAAAGAATAGTGATTTCAAGGTCGTCTTAGCAAACGAACAATATTACAATGACAAACATTTGTAAAGTTACTTCTATTTTGTACCGGAAAAGTCCTAAACTTTGCTAAAGGCAGCTTTCACATCAGAAAAGGTAACAATTCAACAGAGGCAATAAGCTGATGGCAAAAAAAATTTTCGATTGCGTGCAGTGTGTTTTCATTTTTTACCTTTTTCGTTTTAAAATTCTATGGTCGTGGGAAGATTTTCAAGAGACGGAGAGAAAATAGATTGCTTTTTATAGATCCCTTATAGTACTTTGCGAATGATGAAACTCGCCGCAAAAAACGCCAAATCCTTTCAGGTACATTTTGACGGCTTGTCTTTCAACTTTCTGTCTCATTTGTTGCCTTTTTGTACCCACTAAGTTTCATTTTTCGTCATCGGTTCTTTTATGTTCTTCACAGCTTGTTTCTGGTCAGAAGGTGAAAATGAAAGCCATATTTAGCACGCTCAGCGCGTTTTAAAGTCGCAGTCTTTGAAGAAAGTTTCTGCACCAATTTCGGCTGTTTTTGTAGTTTCTTTTTTCCAAAAATATACCTTTTGCTTTTCTTAGTAGCTTCACATGTTTCATTAAATCCCTTGCCTTTAATTTCGGCTATTTTTGCAGCTTATTCTTGTCTTCTTTATTTAAAAAATTATCATATTTACCATTTCATTGTTCCTTCAAAATTTCTGTTTCGTTTTACATTGCTTGCTTTTGGTTAACAAAATTCACCGTGATGGGCTTTTCGAGGCAATCGAACTTCCTCTTTTTAATCACCAAAAAATCTATAAGGCGGTCCAAAATCATCACCAAATATGATTTTAGGGCCAAAAAAAATATTCAGAAACATAACTCCTTGTCCTGCTCGTGTACACTGTCTGAAAACAAAATACACAACTTTTAAAATGTATTTAAAATTAGTATATTTATTTTTTAACGGTTTGTATCAGGGAATTCTAACATCGTCATTTAGCCCATGCTATTTCAAAACCGAAATCCATATTTAAAGAGTTTCTAAAAGGTTTTATTTGAGGTGCTCTTTTTGCAGTTAATAATGATGAACATTATTATGACTTTTTTTTTCGGCTGAAATCGTTGTTTTGGCTGAGAACTTTCTAAAAGGCCGTCTTGTAAAACGTCAGTTTAGTACAACCTTAACATTTTGAGATGATTTAAAATTTATTCAGTGATTTGAACCAGTATCTGTTCATACGCACAATTGTGGATTTGTTATCATGACTTTTGCACATTTACATTGGATCGGTAATCAAAAAGGATTATTTTTAAATTGTATTTAATTGCTTTGTCGCAGGATAGACTCATATATTACTAATTGTAACTAACGAGCTGAAATACACGGCGCTGAAAATAGGTTTTTTGGTAAAATGCCCCACGTATTTTTTAGCCAGTGGTCACCGACATGTTCGCAGAGGCTTCCATTTTCGCTATTTACCCACTTCTTTTGTGTGTTTTTACAATTACGGTTATTTTCGAATCAATCATCCCTTGTAGAATAGCCGAACAAAAATTCGACTTCCAATCAAAATTGTCAAATCGTAACTTGATCATCTCAAGACCGGATGAGTATCAATTTATTGACATATCCTTTTTTTCTAAAAGCACTCAACGAAAGAAGTCGAACCTATAAAGTAAATTATTTTATACGCTTTGGAGTCTTAACTGCCAGTGATCCAAAACCTGCTCGTCTCTAACGAAACATCCATCTCCGTGATGCCGAACTATGAGAGGAAGCTGTTGCCTAGACCCTAGGCCTCAATATTCCGCGCGGCCAAAGCGTTTTGTCACGTGGTCCAAGCGAAAATTTCTTTTCCCGCCCGCTCGCCTCGGATACGTCACCGAAAAGAATTGACCGAGAGGGACTGGGAACTCGCCGTATAGAGACTATGCAAGAGAAGCTGTATTCGCAGGCCAAGGTTTCCTGCATTGATAAGTTTGTTTTGTCTGTGTGAATGACAAGAGTGAAGTTGGTTTTTCGACCCTCGACTTATTCGTCTCTTAGGATTTTGAAAACGTATAAAAATGTTGCATAAAATTTCCTTCGGTCCAAAAGGATATTATTCAGGCCCTAGAGGATCATCTCACCATAATGACACTGTCATACTCCGCGTTTCTGAGTTATCTGTCCCTGATTTGTATAAGTTCTGTCGGCTCAAGTTTATGACAAGAAATATTGAGACTAGTGAGGGACATTCCCCTACCATATTTGTTACCTTCAGCATCCTCGGATAAGTATCACATCACACATGGCTTTCCATGTCTTCATGAACCTCGCGCTTTTTTTAAAGATAGAGCTGTCTGAAATAAATTCCGCGCAAATTAGCGAATAGACCTTTTTACCGATACGGCGGCCATATTGAATTTATTCGATTTAAGGAGTATTATAGGATGCCCAGGGGACACGAGCATATTTCGTTTGTATTTTCGAGCGCTTTTCGGGACAATTTTTCTCAAAGTTTTCTTAGAATAAGATTGTAATGGGAAAAAAGATCCCTGTGCCGTGTTTGTATGTAATAATGATCGCCTTTTTCGCGAGAAATATACAGTGAAAGACCATATTTCTAACTAGAAAAAGGCGATCATTATTACATCCAAACACGGCACAAGCATCTTCTCTCTCATTACAATCTTATTCTAAGAAAACTTTAAGAAAAAATGTCCCGAAAGGCGCTCAAAAATACAAACGAAATGTTCTCATGCCCCCTGGGCATCCTATAATACTCCTTTAATCGAATTAATTCAATATGGCCGCCGTATCGGTAAAAAGGTCTATTAAACACCACTTTACACTGCAAGGTATACAACGCGAAACGGGTTTTGTGTAGAGCGAAAAAATCCTCTGTCTCATCGAAATAATTGCTTTCAGGTCTGATTCACTTGATTGGTTCGATTCGTCCTAATTTCGACGTCTGACCAAACAGACGAACTTAACTCCATTTAGGTCCCCCCAAATTAGAGTTTGGTTCGTCCCATGAAAAGTTCGGCGTTTGGCCCATCCTCGGAGACCCAGGGGCAGCTAGTTGGGACGATAGAATGATCGTGGTGAAAGTTTATTATAAGATATTAAACTTTCACCCCCAAATTTCTATCGTCTAGACTAGCTTCCCCTGGGTCTCCGAGGATCAATTGGCCTAGGCCTAATCCAGTTATTTGCAAATTTGAAAAAAAAAGACCAAACCAAAACTTGAATTTGAATTTCGTGAGGGTTATATCCTGGCACGAGTTTGTTAAACTGGTACCCAGTTGTTACTCTTTTCTTCTCGTATTAAAAAGACAACAAAAAGAAACTGGACGCACGCAAAGGCGCTTGGGAAGATTTCTCTTCCTTCCTTCTCTTAGGCACTAGAAGATTTTCTAACGGCTGACAAATTTGACCGTACACTTATTTTACGCTGGACCGTTCAATATTTTGGCTGTGTTCACACGACATTTGAATGGCTAGACGTCTAAATTTTCATACCATGAAGGTGGTTCCATATGAACCGAGAACTAAACCACAAGAATTTTCATTTTCGTCCGTTGCCGTCCGAACGTAGACGTAAAGCACCGCGAACTCACTAAATCCTTCCAGTTAATCACAGCGTCAATACAGAGAGGCGAATGGGTAGCAATCTGCTATGTCGGTTGACGCGAGGTTACGTTTAACCTCTATTCCCTCTATAATCTGTCTAATCTTCTAATCGCTATAATGTTTTCCTCCGACGTTCGTGCTTCAACCAGAAACCGAGAAAGAAGAAATGGTAAGTGACGTTCCATGTGGTTCATACTAATCCCAATGAAACGACTTAACGAAATGTAGGTGAAATTTTAAGGCCATTTTCCAAGTTTGAAAAAACCCTCACTTTCAAAACGAGGCTAAGTGTTTGAAAATAAAAAATCATCTTCTTAGAAATAGGGTCGTACTTAGCCTCAGTTTGAAAACGAGGCTTGGCGCAGCTAATTAACCATTTGAACGGTAACATCAAAATTCAGATTCTCATTTGTTAGTATCTTCTGTGATCATGTCCTCAATTCTCATGACCACTCTGTTATATAAAGCAGTGATATTACAGAGAGAAATTTGAAACTGATCACTCTTAGGCCCGGTTCAGACGCCGAAATTTTCATGAGCCGAACCTAATTCGAATTAAGGCCGACCCAAATTATTTAGACCGGCTGAACTGATTCAGACGCCGATTTAATTGCCATTGAACTAAGTTCAAAAGGCGAAAAATGCTCATTTCGGTCAAAGTGCTTTCAAAGTATATTATAATAATTTATGCATTTGGTTCGTACATGAAAAGCTGGGCGTTTCTGAATCAAAGGCGTTCCAAAGTCGCTCCATAAGCGAAATTCCCGGCCGTGCCAGGCGAAAAGAACGGCTGAGCCGTTTCAAATAGAAGCAGGTGTTCCCAATTGATTCAGACGCCGAACTTTTCTTCTACTTAATTCATGAAACGATGAAAAATTCATGAAAAGTTGATGAAAAGTTCGGCGTCTGAACCGGCAGGAGCCACGGCGGGAAAAAAAACAGCGCAGGTAATCATGGGA